GTCGAGGTCCGGCCGCCGGGCGGCGCCGCCGCCGCGCGGACCGCGGCGCCGCGCGCGGGCTACGAGGCGCCGAGCCTCGGCGGCGGCGGCGGGGCCATGGGGCCGCCGCCCCTGCCGCCGGGCTGGGAGGAGGGCCGCAACGCGAACGGCGTGCCCTTTTACGACGACCACAACACGAGGACGACGCACTGGACGCGGCCCGAGCCGCCCGCGGAGACGAACCCGCTCCACCAGCAGGGCGCCGCCGCCGCACCGCCGCCGGCGCCGCCGGCCAACGACAACGTGCCGGGGGGCATGACCGAGGAGGAGATGATCGCGCAGGCCATCGCGCTCTCGCTCGCGGAGAGCTCCGAGGGCGACGCCGCGCCCGCGCCGGAGGCCGACGCCGTGCCCGTCGCGGCGGCCGCGCCGGAGCCCGAGCCCGTCGGCGACCTCCTCGGGGGCTACGACGAAGAGCCCGCGCCGCTGCCGACGCCGCCGCCGACGGACGTGTGACGCCCGCCGCGTGTGAGTCCCCGCCGGGGCGCCAGAGGACCAAGACCCTCGCGCCCCGTTAATGCGAACCCTCCTTGTAGCAGCGGCCTGTGGGGGCGCGATAACATATCCCGCCGGCTTCCGTGCGCGTGCGCTCTGCGCGTCTTCAACGTCGCCGCACGGTGTCGTCAACAAGCCGCTGCCCCCCCGGAGAGCGTCGGTGTCACGGCCGATCGCCCGCTGTGCCAGACCGCCCGCCTGACTCGCGAACCGCGAACCCGTCGCGACGCGCCGGACCGCCCGACGCGCCATGGGTCCCCCGCCGCGCCGCCGCACCGAGGCCGAGGCGCTCGAGGACGTGAGCGCGCGCATGCTGCAGGGCTGGAAGATGCTCGGTGATTCCTGTCCGATGCCGGCGTGCAACACGCCGCTCGTCGAGAGCCGGCGCGGCGAGGTCTGGTGCGCGCGCTGCGGCGCGGCGGTCCTGCGCGCGCCGCCGGCCGGCGCGTCCCTGCCCCCCGCGCCGCCGCCGGCGCCGACACCGAAGGAGGCGCACGACGCCGCGGTCCGCGCGTGGAACGGCGACGGCGACGACGACGACGACGAGTTCCACGACGTCTCCGAGCCCGAGGTCGTCGCCAAGGCGGTCGTCGCCAAGGCCGTCGTCGCGGGGCCCGAGGCGCCGCCCGCGCCGCGCCTCGCCGCCAAGTACAAGAAGCGCGACGACGCCTCCGCGGCGATCGGGCGCAAGCTGCTCCAGGGCTGGACGCTCCTCGACGCGCCCTGCCCGCGCGACGGCTGCGTCGGCTGCCCCCTGATGAGGGACGGCCTGATGAAGGACGGCCGGGACCCGGACGCGCGGCGCTACTGCGTGTCCTGCGAGGCCTACGAGGGCGACGAGCCCGCCGAGCCGTCGGCGCCGAGCTCGCCCGAGTCGGCCGTGCTCGTCGAGAAGACCTTCGACTCGCCGCCCCCGGCGCCGGCGGCCGTCGACAACTGGCGCGACTTCGTCGTCCGCGAGGACGACGACGACACCGCCGTGGCGAACTGGCGCGACTTCGTCGTCGAGGACAGGTCCGCGGAGCCCCCCGGGTCCAAAATCCTCGGCAAGCACCTCCTCCTGGGCTGGGCCATGCTCGGCGACATCTGCCCGAACCCGGGCTGCAACAGCCCGCTCATGCGCGCGCCGGGCGGCAAGCCGGCGTGCGTGCAGCCGGGCTGCGCGAAGGTGGCGAAGGCGGCGCCCGAGAAGGCCGCGCCGGCGCCCAAGGAGGAGGCCGTCGAGGAGGCCGCCACCCAGCGGTGTCTGCCCTGCCCCGCGCCGCCTATCCGGCGCGCCGCGCCGTCCGGCGACGGCGACGACGCCGTCGTCTTCGCGCGCGCGTCCGCGGCGCTCCTCGGCAAGGTCGCCGACGCCGCCGCGTGGCTCTCCGACGCGCGGGGCCCGGCGGCCGTCGCGGCCTGCGCCGACGCCGTCGCCGCCTGCGCGGGCGCCCTCGGCGCGGTCCGCGCGTGCAAGGACGTGTACGGCGACGACCGCGCGCGCGCCGCGGAGGACGCGCGGGACGCCGTCCGCGCGCGGCTCGCGGACGTGACCTTCGAGCTCGGCGAGGCCGAGGATGCTGCCGCAGTCACCGCGGCCGCGAACGCCGTGGCGAGCCTCTCGAAGGCCGACGCGGCGCTGACCGCGCTTGTTTGAAACCCGTTCCCCCTAATCGTACTCGCTTCTTAGCACCCGAGGAAGTCGACCGCGTGGGCCGCGGCGGCCACGAGCCCGCGGTCGACGAGCTGGGCGAGGAGGTGGCAGGCGCGCGGCGCGTCGTCGCTGACGGTCGCGCGCGACGACGACGCGGCGCGGTAGAGCAGAAATGTCGTGAGGGTGGACTTGGGCGTTTCGATGGGGAGGGAGAAAGCGATGCCGTTCATGCGGCCGATTGCGAGCTTGCGGCCGTTAGGGGAGATCGCCAGGCAGCAGGGTAGATTCTTGTGGAACGCGCTGCCCAGGTCGATGACCTTCTCCACCTGGTGCGATTTGACCGAGTGTAGCGAAACCACCGTGGGGACCTGTGTCGCGCGTGCGTCCGAAGAGGCGTTCATTGCAAGCAAGAGGCCGTCGGGTGTGAAGGCGAGGCTGATCACGGCGTTGAGGTCGTTCGGCGCCGGGAGGAACGGCGACGGATTATCTTCATTCCGACCGAGATAGCCGTTCGTTCGGCGCGGGCGGTAGAACAGCTGAGCGCCACCGCTGCGGCAGACGGCGAAGAGCGGTTCGACTGGGCTGACCGCAATATCGACGAATTCAGTTTCGGAGAGACTATCGTTCGGGGCCAACACCTGACAACGTCGAGCCAGCACTTTTTTGCCGTCTTTGTTGCGGTCGTTGCAGAAATTCATCATGCAGACTTTGTTATCATGTCCCGAAGATATCACGGTCGTCGCGTCGAGCCATGCGAGTGACCGCCCACTGAAGGCCGGGGCCCCGTTACGAGCTTCATGGTGCATGGATTCCGCCAAGACCGCGGGGTCGCTCCATGGTTCAGACTCCGCATCTTCCTCGCGATCGGAGTCCGGCCACTCCTCGACGAGCTGGTACTCTTTGGACCAAACCACGTGACCCGCCTTGAGGATCCGGATGTGACCCTGGAAGCCACCGCATGCGATGAGCTTCTCGTCGGGCGAAAAGGCACACGTGGTGTCTGCTCCGGCCGCGTCGTGGCATCCCGCGAACTTGCCGGTGGTGAAGTCGAATGTCCGCAAGCAGCCGTCCAGGGACGCGGTCGCGACAATCCCACGGGTCCTCGCCACCGACACGCTCACGACCGAATTAAAGCAGTACGAGGAGTGTCCGAGCTTCTTGCCGCGGACGTCGAACAGTCGCTCCACGCCGGTCCGCGCGTCCCAGATGCGGGCTTTGCAGTCGGGCCCGCCGCTGACCACGGTGTTCGAATCGACGAACGCGATCGAATCGACCGAGGCGATATGCGCCCGCCTCATTTCCTTCTGTCTTTTGAGACGAGTCGTAGCTTCTTCACCCCGGTGGCCCTCGAAAACGATCGCTAGGGGTGGAGCTTTCGGGCTCGCGTCGGGCTCGTCCTCCGACGACTCCGTGTCGGTGTCGATGTTGTCGAAGCGCGAGTAGTCGACCATGTCGCGCGGCGCGGGGGGCGCGATCAACGCGTAATATAGAGGCGGTCTAGCAGGAGACGCTCGCCGAACTCCTGCCACAGCGTCCAGCCCTGGGAGAGCGCAGCTACCAGGCCACGCGCACCACCAACGCCGCGCAGCACCGCTACCAACGCCACGCCACAACCGCAGCGCTAGCCGCATCGATGGTCGCGTCTCTAGAGCTCGCACGAGCAGCGTTGGTGAAAGGCGGCGTGCTGCGCGCCGGCGTCAACCTGTCCAACTTCTTGCTGGTGAGCAGCCGCGGCCCCAACGACGAGCCGCGGGGCGTGTCACCGTCGCTGTGCCTCGAGCTCGCAAACCGCCTCGACGCGGAGCTCGAGATCGTACCCTACGCGAACCCCGGCCTGCTCGCCGACGGCGCGGCCAAGGGCGAGTGGGCCGTCGGTTTGATCGGCGCGGAGCCGGCGCGCGCGGCGACCATCGCCTTCACGAGGCCGTACGCGGAGATCGAGGCGACCTACGCCGTGCCGCCGGGCTCGTCCTACGGCGACGTCGCGGCCGTGGACGCGGCGGGCTGCACCGTCGCCGTGTCGCGGCGATCCGCGTACGGTCTCTGGCTCGAGGCGAATCTGGAGAAAGCATCACTCGAGCAGACCGCGGAGCCGGGCCTCGCGGCGTCGGCGGACCTCTTCTTCGATGCGCGGGCCGACGCGCTGGCGGGCCTGCGGCCGTGGCTGCTCGGCCTCCGGGCCGACGACGACCGGTTCCGCGAGTTCCGCGTGCTCGACGGCCGCTTCGCGACGGTGAACCAGGCCATCGGCACGCCGCGGCTCGGGCGGGAGGACGACGCGCTCCCCTTCCTCGCGGCCTTCGTCGACGACGTCACGAGCTCCGGCCTCGTCGCGGACCTCATCCGCGACACGGGCGTCGAGGGCAAGCTGTCCGTCGCGGCTGCTAGAAAATAGACTCGGAAGGCGGGCAAGCTGCCCTGTTCTCAATAGCAGCGTCGGGAAAATACCCCGCCTTCTCGGGTAAGCTGTCTGTCGCGTCTTCTAAGTAGCCAGCTTCGAACGAAATAATACCCCGCCTTCTCGCCGGGCAAAAGCCGTCCTTTCAATAGAAAAAATAGACTTAGGAGTGCCCCGCCTTCTTCTTGCCTTGCACAAAACCGGGCATGCGCTTGGACTCGCGCGTCGGCGCCGCGGTGGGGTCCGCGTCGGCCGCGGCCGTCGCGGCGCCGTCGTCGTCGGGCGGGGGCGGCGGCGGCGGTCCCGGATAGTTGCCGTGGCCCTCGGAGGTCGGCTTCTTCGTCTTCGCGAAGGTCGGCATCGCCGACGGCGGCGAGCCGACCTCGGGCGCGACGCCGACGTCGTCGTCGACCTCCGCGGACGCGCCGTCGTCGTCGCTCGCCGGCGGCGGCGGCGGCGGCGGCCCCGGCGCGGCGCCGTGCCCCTCGGACGTGGGCTTGGGCGTCTTCGCGGCCGTCGGGTGGTGCGTCGGGTTCGGGTCCTCGTCGTACGGCGGCGGCGGCGGTCCCGGCTGGTTGCCGTGCCCCTCGGACGTGGGCTTGCGCGTCTCGCCGGGGAGGACGACGGGCGCCGACGTCGGCGCGCCGGGCGTGACCGTCGGGCAGTAGGTCGGCGCGCCCCCAAAGGCCGTCGACGACAGGGGCATCTGCGTCGGCGCGACGTCGGTGCACTTCACGGCGGGCGCGGGCGTCGGCGCGGGCGTCGGCGCGGGCGTCGCGACGACGGGCGACCGGGACGGCTCGCCGGGCACGACCGTGGGCTCGGGCGTCGGCGTCGGCGTCGGCGCGGGCGTGGGCTTCGACTCGGGCACGCCCGTCGGCGCCGCGGACGGCGCGGCGGTCGGCGCCGTCGACGGGCAGCTCGTCGGCGTCGACAGCGGCATGCCCGTGGGCTGCGACGACGGCGCGGTGGACGGCACGGTCGTCGGCGTGGATAGGGGGACGCCCGTCGGGTCCGTCGTGGGCAGCAGCGACGGCAGGCCGCTCGGGTACGGCGTCGGCGCCGTCGTCGGCTTCGCGGACGGCAGCGCCGTGGGCGGGTAGGAGGGCGTCGACGTCGGCGCCGTCGACGGGTGGAGCGTCGGCGCCATCGTCGGCGGGTAGGACGGCGCCGCCGTGGGCGCCGCCGACGGCGTCTGGGACGGCGGCGGCGTCGGCGTCGTCGTCGGGTCCGACGTCGGGAGCTTCGTGGGCCGCCGCGTGGGCTCGGGCGACGGCGGCGTCGTCGGCAGGGACGTCGGGAGCTTCGTCGGCCGCCGCGTCGGCTTGGACGTGGGCGGCACGGACGGCGCCGACGTGGGGAAGAGGGACGGGTGCACCGTGGGCGCGCGCGTCGGCGGCAGCGTCGGCAGCACCGTCGGCGCGTAGGCGAACTGGCCGTCGGCGGCCTCGAAGACCTCGTCGCAGGGCGCCTCCTCGCAGCGCAGACTCTCGTCGTCCTCGCCCAACAGCTCCATGGAGATGCCGTTGGACCGCTTGCAGTCGTCCGTCACGGTCAGCGAGTACTGGCCGTTCGACAGGCAGAGCCACATGGTCTGGGACGCCTGGTCGGCGGTCATGGACCCCGACGCGACGACGGCGCCCGTCGTGCGGTTCGTGATGGAGAAGTCGCAGCCGTCGGCCCACGCGGACGACGCGGAGTCGTAGAGCACCGCGCGGTAGTGGTGCTCGCCCGGCGAGCACTCGATGGACGGCATGGACGTGGGCAGCGTCGTCGGCAGGCCCGTCGGGATGACGCTGGGCGCGTAGGACGGCGTCGCGCTCGGCGCGCTCGTCGGCGGCGTCGACGGCGGCGGCGTCGGCATCGTCGTCGGCTCCGAGGTCGGCGGCGCGGACGGCGGCGCGGACGGCGCGCTCGAGGGCGCGTAGGAGGGCGCGGAGCTGGGCGCGGCCGACGGCGGCGTCGAGGGCGGCGCCGTCGGCAGGAGCGTCGGCGTGCCCGAGGGCGCGGCCGAGGGCGCGACGGTCGGGAAGCTCGTGGGCAGCTTCGTGGGCTTCCGCGTGGGCCGCGGCGACGGCGCGATCGTCGGCAGCGACGTCGGCAGGTGCGTCGGCCGCCGCGTGGGCAGGGGCGACGGCATGATCGACGGCGTCGACGTGGGCATGTCGGTGGGCCGCCGCGAGGGCCGGGGCGACGGCATGACCGTCGGCGCGGACGTCGGAAGCTCCGTGGGCCGCCGCGTGGGCCGCGGGCTCGGCATGAGCGACGGCGTCGGCGTCGGCGCCGAGGCGGGCTCCGCCGTGGGCGTCGACGTCGGCGGCACGGAGGGCAGCGTCGTCGGCAGGTCCGTCGGGCGCCGCGTCGGCCGCGGGCTCGGCGCGAGCGTCGGCGCGCCCGACGGCGCGGACGTCGGCGCGTAGGTCGGCTCGCTCGTGGGCATGGCCGACGGCGCGCTCGACGGCGTCGCCGAGGGCGTGCCGACGGGGTGGTTCGACGGCGGCACGCTCGGCGCGCCCGTGGGCGCGTCGTAGAGTTCGGACTCGTCCGTGCAGAACGCCTCCGTCGTCCCCGGCCGCACCTCGACCTTCTCGCCCGCCGTGTCCTCGATGATCATGTAGACGTCGTCGTCGTCGCTGCAGTCGTCGTCGATGTAGGCCGTGTAGCAGTAGTTCGTGAAGCAGACCCAGTCCGTGGACTTCGTCGCGCCCGGCGCGAGCGTGCCCGACGAGAGCACGTAGCCGTCGTCGTCGTCGCTGAGGATCTCGTAGTTGCAGCCGCCCCACCCCGAGCCGTCGTCGTCGTAGAGCGTCACGCGGTAGACGTACTCCATGGCCGGGCACTCGACGGACGGCATCGACGTCGGGTCGTGGGTGGGCGCCGGGTACGGACGGGGGCTCGGCTTCGACGTCGTCGGCTTGAACGTCGGCGGCGCGCCCGTGGGCCGCGCGGACGTCGGGTCCACGGACGGCGCCGGCGCGGGGACGTTCGTGGGGAAGGGGATGGGCACGAGGCTCGGCCGCTGCGTCGGCTCCGGCAGCGGCGCCGTCGTCGGCCGGAACGTCTCCGTGGGCGGGAAGCTGAGAGTCGCGCCGGTCGTCGGCGCGTAGGTCGACGGCGTGTAGCACTCCTTATTGCACCAGTGGCAGGTCTTCGTCTTCATCTTGTCGACCTTGCCGGAGTCGTCCGCGTCGTCGTCCTCGCCGCAGTTGATCATGCACCACTCGCACGCGCCGACGTTGCCCGCGCGGGGGATGCAGTCCACGGGCGCGGACCGCAGGAAGTCGTCGTCGGCGCAGTAGTGCGGCGCCGCGGCGTCGTCGGCGGCGCCGCCGTCGTCGTCGTCGTCGGACCGGCGGCCCCTCGTCTCCGTCGCGGCGCCGCCGTCGTCGTCGTCGTCGTCGCCGGCGACGCGGCCCTTGGACGACGACGCGTCGTCGCCGACGCGCTCGCGCGCCGTCGAGAAGATGTCGTCGTCGGACGCGCGCGCGCTCGACGTCGACCGCAGCAGCGCCAGCGGGCTGCTGGTGCCGGAGATGCGCGTCGCCGCGGCGAACCCGGTGGCGGCGACGACGAGGACGGCGCCGACGACGGACCGCGCGCGCCGCGTGTGGTGCTTCGGGGGGTCCTCCGGCTCCACGAGCCGGCCCGCCTCCATCGTCGCTTGCATCCTACGGGCTGCCCGCGGGCATCATCACCCAATCTGGCAGCGGGCGCAGTGGATATAATTTTGTTTCCCTGCAAGCAAGGCGGGCAGCTTACGCTATGCTGGACTGCTATGAGAGTTCGCCGGTCATCGGGGAGTGGGAGATGGCGTGCGGCTTCTGCTTCGATTACGTCGAAGTGCTCAAGACCTTGGACAAGGCCGTCAGCGATGGTTGGTCCAACGATGGCAGCAAGGATGCCCTGGACACGCCCGCGAAGGCGCGAGCCGCCGTGCAGAAACTGCTGAACCGCCGCTTCCCGGAGGCGTCTCTCGCGCAGCGAGCAGCCATCGCGACGCTGTTCGCCGAAGGTGGCCTGGCGCCGGGACCGGAACGCGACGTCGCGGTGCGCGCGCTCCGCGCGCTCATCTTGGAATACCACAAGCCGTGGCCCGACGATCTCCTACCCGATTCCGAGTTCGAGGAGGAGACGGAGAGGCAGCGCTGGCGTCGGCGTACGGCCGAAGCCAGAGAGCGCCGCGACGCCGCCATCGAAGAGCGCCGCGCCGCTGGCGAAGACGTCGAGGAGCCCGAGGACGAGGACGACGATCTCGACGCCTACTACGACGCCCACCACAGGGGTAGAACCGTGGAAGAAATATATCGGTACGAGGTTGCTGATGCGGATCACTGTCACGCGGACGTCATCGCGGTTTCGTTAGACTACTACCTGCGTCCCATTTGCGATATTTTGTCGGCGGCGCTCGGCTTACCTCCGTTGGATTTCGTCACGTCCGAGACAGAACATGTCATCTGCTGCCTTCGGGGGCGGTCGGTGAGTGGCGCGACCATTCACGCCGTCGGGAATTGGCGAGGCGGCCATCACACCTCGGCCGTGGCCTTTGATCCTGACGCGTTCCAAATCAGCGACGACGATCGCACTTCGCTCTTGGTCTTCTGGGATCTGTTCGGGCTCGACTCGACGGACGCTCTAGATTTGAACGCCCACGCGCTCTATAACGAGTCAAAGAACGATTCTTCGCGGATGATGCACGACCACAGCGGAGATTGGGGCGTCACCAGCCGTGTTGCGCAATGCACGAACTCCCACCCGCTGCATGTCGAGGGTCGCCCCTGGAAGCCCCAGTGGATCCACATCTGCCGCGTCTCCCACCCTACGAAGGCCACCCAAACCATGGACATCGCCCCCTTGTGGAAGCACGACCAGTAAGTTTCTAGGGCTGGTGCTAGCTGCAAGTGCACAGCAAGATCAGTGATCTTTACTCGAGCGCTCGACGATGCGACGCTGCGCCTGCCTCGCGGCTGCCGCAGCAGCCCTGCAGCAGCCGCCGCGCCGCGCAGCGCTGCACCGATTGCAAGCAGCGAAAGAGATCGCGAAATTTGACCCGCAGGACTTCGCGATGGAGACGGGCGCCTGGCCCTACACGGCCGCCGACCTCAATCGCCTCGACAACAGCGACGACGCGTCGTTCTACGCGCAGCCGCGCTTCGTGGCGCACATCGACGACCGCGCGATCGAGAGCCTGACGGCGTTCTACAGCGACGAGTTCGCGGCGATGGGCGCCGGCGAGGACGGCCTCGACGTCTTGGACACGTGCTCGTCGTGGATCTCGCACCTGCCGACGGACGCGGCCTACGGGCGCGTCGCCGGCCTCGGCATGAACGCCGCGGAGCTGGAAAAGAACCCGCAGCTCACGGAGACCTGCGTGCGAGACCTCAACGTCGATCCGACGCTGCCCTACGACGACGAGTCCTTCGACGTCGTCTGCAACGTCGTCTCCGTCGACTACCTGGTGAAGCCCCAGGAGTTCTTCGCCGAGGTGCACCGCGTGCTGCGACCCGGCGGGCGCGCGCCGGCGTCGAGCGACAGGAGTGTTTTTTTCGCGTGAATTTCGCCTGAAGATGTGAAGAGATCCGACCCCGTCGCACGTGGTAGGCGCGCGCTCATCTCGTTCTCGAACCGCTGCTTCCAGACAAAGGCCGTCGCCATGTGGCTGCAGGCGGACGACATCGACAAGCTGACGATCGTCGCGAGCTACTGCCACTACGCCGCGAAGTTCAAAGAAATCGCGGCGCTCGACATCAAGCTGCCGCCGCTGCCCATGCCGGAGCGGCCGAGCCCCGGCGACATGATGAAGAACCCGAGCGCGGCGATGGCCTGGGCGTCGGCGTCCGCGGCGGCCGCGCGCGCGAACTCGGGCGATCCCATGTTCGCCGTCAGGGCCGTCAAGCGCACGAAGCCGGCGAAGAGTCGTAAATGAGGCTTAGTTCCAGTTGTCGCGCTTCCGCGCGCCCTGGTGGTGGATGCGGTCGCCGATGCGCCGCGGGATCGCCCACGCCCGCGCGGCGTTCGACGAGGCACTCGGCGCCGGCGCCGACGAGCCGGACGCGGCACCGTTCGAGCCCCAGCCGCCGCCGCCGCTCGGCGCCTCCGAGGCGCCGCCGCCCGCCGCCGCGGCGCCGCCGTTCGAGCCCCAGCCGCCGCCCGACGGCGCGGTAGATCCGCTCGAGCCCCAGCCGCCGCCGCCGCTTGGCGCCGCCGCGCCGCCTCCGCTCGAGGCCCAGCCGCCGCCGCCGCTCGGCGTCGCGCTCGACGCGGCCTCCTGGCTCTCGCCCGCGGCGGCGACCGGCGGCGCGGCGACCGGCGCGGCGACCGGCGCGGAGCTCGCTTGCTGCCGCGTCATCCACGCCGGCATCGTGCTCGCGAGCCCTCGGCCTCGGCCCTGCGCGCCCGCCGGCGCGGTCCCGGCGGGCACGAAGCCGGCGGGAGCGGCCGCGCTGGCCGACGGCGCGCTGGCCGAGACCGGGGAAGGCGCGGCGTTGCGCGAGGAAGAAGAGCCCGAGCCTCCGGCGGGCGGCCGCGCGGAGCTCGAGCCCCAGCCGGAACCGCCGGAAGCCGGTGCCGAGCCCCAGCCGCCGCCGGAAGACGACGCCGTCGAAGGCGGCGCGGCGGGCGGCGGCGCGGCGGGCGGCGCCGAGGAGCTCGAGCCCCAGCCGGAACCGCCGGAAGCCGGCGCCGAGCCCCAGCCGCCGCCGGAAGACGACGCCGTCGAAGGCGGCGCGGCGGGCGGCGGCGCGGCGGGCGGCGCCGAGGAGCTCGAGCCCCAGCCGGAACCGCCGGAAGCCGGCGCCGAGCCCCAGCCGCCGCCGGAAGACGACGCCGTCGAAGCGCCCCAGCCCGACGCGGCCGGCGCCGATCCCCAACCGGAACCGTCCGAGTTCGACGCCGTAGCGGATCCCCAGCCGCCGCCGCCAGAGGACGAAGGCGCGGAACTGCCCCAGCCGCCGCCGCCGCCCGACGACGAAGGCGCGGAATTGCCCCAGCCGCCGCCGCCGCCGGACGACGAAGGCGCCGAGGAGTCGCCCCAGCCGCCGCCGCCGCCGGACGACGAAGGCGCGGAGTCGCCCCAGCCGCCGCCGCCGCCGGACGACGACGGCGCCGAGGAGTCGCCCCAGCCGCCGCCCGAAGACGGCGCCGAGGCGCCCCAGCCGCCGCCGCCCGAGCGGCCGCCGCCGCGGCCGCCGGACGGCTCGCCCCGGCCGCCGCGGCTCGACGGCTCGCGCGAGCGGCTGTCGCCGGCCGAGCCGCCGCTCGACCGGCCGCCGTCGCTCCGGCGCCGGTCGCGCGACCGCGACCGCGACCGCGACCGGCCGCGGCGCCGCGGGCTCGGCGACCGGCGCCGGCGCTCGCGCGGCGACGGCGACCGGCGCCTACGGCCCCGGGACCGGGACCGCGACCGGCGCCGCTCCGGGGAGCGCGACCGGCGCCGCTCCGGGGAGCGCGACCGGCGCCGCTCCGGGGAGCGCGACCGGCGCCGCTCCGGGGAGCGCGACCGGCGCCGCTCCGGGGACCGCCGCCGCCGCGGGGACGGCGACCGGCCGCGGCGCGACGGCCGCGGGTCGGGGCGGTCGCGGGACGACAAGTCCGGCTCGCCCGCGCCGGGCGCGCGGTCGGCCTGCGTGTGGCGCGCCTGGAGCTGCGCGAGCAGCGCGGACCGGGGCTCCGCCGCCGCGGGCGCCGCCGCCGGAGGGCGCCGCGCGGGCGTCGCCGACGGCGGCGCCGCGTCGTTCCAGCCGCCGGACGACGCGTCGTCGCGACCGGACGCGGGCTCCGAGGCCCCCCAGCCGTTGGACGCGGGCTCCGAGGCCCCCCAGCCGCCGGACGACGCCGCCGCGGCGCCCCAGCCGTCGGACGCGGGCGCCGGAGCGCCCCAGCCGCCGGAGGACGCCGCGGGCGCGGACGCGGGCGCCGGAGCGCCCCAGCCGCCGGAGGACGCCGCCGGCGCTGCCGCGCCCCAGCCGTCGCCGCCGGACGGCGCGCCCCAGCCGTCGCCGCCCGGCGCGGGCGCGGGGGCCGCGGCGCGCGGAGACGATGCCGCCGCGTCCGGCCGCGTCTCGGGCTCCCAGCCGGCCTCGCCGCGCTGGCACATGCCGACGAGCTTCGTCTTCGTGTCCGGGTTCAGGCAGTGCCAGGCGACGCCGTAGGCGTTGCGCACCTCCCTTATGGCCTCCTGGAAGCCCTGGACGTCGGCCGTCTTCTTCTTCTTGGGCACGCGCGGCGACGACGCGGGCGCCGCCGCGGGCTCGGGCGTCGGCGCGCGCGCCTCGAGCGCCGCCGTCGTCGCCGCGCTCACGGCGCCCTTGAAGCGCCGCTTCGGCCGCTTCTGCTCGATGGCCTGGACGAACTCCTCGTCGGAATCGGCGCAGACCGGCGGCGGCCGCTTCGACGCGGGCGGCTTTTCGTCGAAGACGAACTCCTCCTCCTCCTCCTCCCCCTCCTCCGCCTCCTCGTCGGAGTCGAGCTCGCCGCCGACCTTCTCCTCATCGTACGTGGCGCTGTTGAACGACGTCGGCGACGCGCGCGGCGGCGGCGGCGGCGGCGCCGCGCGCGGCGCCGCGGGCCGCACGGCGACGGCCTGGGGCCGCGCGGCGGCGGCGGCCGCGAGCGCGGCGTCGCGGAGCGCGCCGGCGTTTTGGGGCGACGGCGCGGCGGCGACCGGCGGCGCGGGCGGCGCCTTGGCCGCCTTCGCCTTCGGCGACTTCGTCGAAGCCGCGGGCGGCGCGGGCGGCGCGGCCTCGGGCTCGGACTCCGTGCCCTCGTCGTCGACGGGCGGCGGCGCCTTCGCCGGCGCCTTCTTCCTCGCCGGCGCCTTCGCCGGCGCCTTCTTCTTCGCCGGCGCCTTCTTCTTCGTCGCGAGGTGCTGGGGCGCGTCGAAGGACGGCACGGGCCCAAAGTCGAGGAGCTTCTCGTAGTGCTTTGTCTGCATCCGCTCGTTGGCGAACTTGATGGCCGTCGCCCGGTCCTCGTCCTTGTCCTTGGCGAGCAGATAGAGCGCCGCGCGGAGCGCCTTGTCCCAGCCGGGGACCTTGCTCTTCCAGAAGACGTCCGTGCTCACGACTTTATGGTAGTTGTCGCGGAAGGCGAGGATGCGGCCGGACGAGTTGGCGATGGGGTCCTGGCAGGGATTCTCGACGTAGTTGAGCTCGTAGACGCGAGACCCGTCCGCCGCGGCCGGCGGCGGCCACTCCACGGGCCGGTTCTCGGCGTCATAGGCGCTCACGAGGGCCGGCCAGGGCTTGCAGTGGAACTCCTGGCCGTCGCCCACCACCCAGACGAGCGTGCCAGCCTCGGGTTCCGGTAGGATATCCGGCCTCGGCAGCGTCGGGGTGCGCAGTCGCCCCATTTTTTTTCCTCGCGACGGTGGTCAAGTGTTCTAGAGGTGAGATCCAGCGACGCGAAGTTAAGCGAGACGTACGTGTGGCCCGCGCCCAAGTCTTGAATGACACGAATGTGCGGCCCAGCCTCAGCCGGGACGCAAGGGAATCTTGCCACAAAAATGCTCGCTGAAGCCAAAACTACTGTGTGCCGGAGGACGGCGAACTTGCCGACACTTGACGACGACCTCGTCGCCGGGCCAGGGCTCCGTGAACGTCGTTGCCGGGTCGTCGTCGTAGCGCACGTCGATGGAGGACACGCCGCGCGCTTAACATATCCCGCCGGCGGGATATGTTAGCCCCGACGCGAGCGCGCCCCTCCTCAACCGAAGCGCTCGACGCGGCGGCGGCGCAGCTCGGCGTCGTCGCGCGCGGGCGCCGCCGGAGGCACGCGCTCCCAGTCCGCGTCCTCCGCGGGCGCGGGCGCCGCGGCGGGCGCCTGGCCGGCCGTGCCCGCGGCGTAGGTGTAGCGGTCGCGGCCCGGCCGCGGCGGCACGCGCGCGGCGCCGCGCTTCGCCCGGAGCTTCGCGGCGAGGAGCGCGCGCAGCTGGGGCGTGGCCGTCCAGAGGTAGCCCGCGAGCGCGCCGCAGGCGTGGCCGACGATGCTCGAGCGCGGGTTGAAGTAGGACGCGACGAGGATCTCGAGCCAGTGCGCGTGGCGACTGGAGACCTTGACGCCCCAGACCCGCGACGTCGCAGCCGACCCGGGCGCGTGCGCGCCGTGGTTCAACACCAGCTTCATGGCGAAGAGCACGCCGCTGAAGCCGACGGCGCAGCCCGTCTGGTAGCCCATCGAGTCCGCGGCGACGCCGACGACGACGGAGAGGAGGTGCGCGACGACGACGGCGAAGGCGACGAAGCCGCCGAAGGCCTCGGACCCCATCTTCTGCTCGAGCTGCACGCCCTTGACGAGGAGCGAGCCCATGTTGTAGTAGAGGTGCATGTCGTCCGCGTGCGTGAACGCCGACAGCACGGTCCGGCGGACGACGCCGCCCCAGTCCGACCGGTACCAGGCGCTCAGGAACGTGTAACTCGAGAGGCACACGGCGTCGAGCGAGTAGGGCAGCACCATCGCCGGGTAGACGTGCGCGCCGACGTTGTAGGCGACGAGCGCGAAGGTCACGGGCGGCTTGACGGGCAGCTCCTCGTAGCGCTGGTAGATCTGCATGAGCAGCATCATGATCATGGGACTCATGTTGTTGTCGTTGCGCCGCCCCTGGCGCCGCACATGCATCCTCGGGCCGGGGTAGCGGTGCATGGTGGTTCTGTTGTGTTGCCGGCTCGAACTGGTCGCGGGCGCGTTGACGGTGTTAGTGGCGGTCAAGAAGGTGTCGCGCGCGGGTCTCTCGACGGCGGGTGTGCAAGAAGGTGTCGCGCGCGTGTGGCTCGACGCGGGTGTGGCCTCCGAGACGCCGAGCCCGAGCTGTGCTCTGCGAACGCTTCTGGGCACCGGGGGTCCACGCGGCGGCTAATTGGGCCTGGCGGCGGGAAAGGAGAAAAAAACCGACCGCCGCAGGCGGGAGGAAAGGGGGTAACTTTGGAGTTATAGGCTACTAGAAGGGTCCCGGGCGGGGCTGGTGCCCGAGCACGCCCGGCCGGCCGTCGCTCCCGATGATCCACATCTGGTGCATGAGCCACCAGACCCGCCTCTGGACGAGCGGCACGATGATGCCGGCCTGCTGCATCAGGAGCTGCTCGCCATACGGGAGGTCGTCGAGCCCCATGGCGACACTGTCGGGGATGTTCATGACCTGGCGGCGGAACTCCGGGTCCAGCATGAGCCGCGCGGGGTTCACGCCCGTGAGAAACGTCGCCCGCGGCCGCGCCGACGGCGGCGCGATCGAGGGCGGGCGCGGCGTCGACGGGAACGGCGCGGGTCGCGGCGGCGGCGGCGGCGGCGGCGGCGGCGGCGCGGGCAAGCACCGGAGCGCCGCCGCGGCGGGGCAGTGCGCGCCCGACGGGCCGCCGTGGCCCGCGAGCGCCTTGCCGCACGCGCAGGTCGTGAACGGGCACGCGTTCAGGCCGAAGCGCGGCCACGGGTGCTCCTTTTTCACTCGGCCGCATTTCCCGCAGATATTCCTCGTGTCCACTTCTTTTACGAAGGGCGCGACCGTCGCGCCTCTCTGGAACTCGAGCGGAGCCGCTTGCGCGAGATTCGACGGCGGGCGACTTCTGACGTCGCGCGACGCGTAGTAGGGCGCCGCGACCTGCTGTCCCATCCGCACGATTCCAGAGATTTCCGGAGCGCGAAATTCCGACGGTTTGGGCAGGGGCGGCTCCCGCGGCCGCGCGACGGGCGCCGGAGCCGCTGGCTCTCGCGCCGCGCGCTGGGCCTGAGCGATGCGCCTGCAGGCGCCCTCCGTCACGATGGGATCATTGGAGACGTCGAGCTTTGAGTAGAGCTTGTCGTGGTAGCCCCTCAACTGCGCGAGGGTCTTGAGGCGGATCTTTTTGAAGGGCTTGCCGCGGGCGGCGTTCTCCGCCTCCTGCTGCGCGCGCTCGTTGAACTTCGCCATGAACTTGTCGTAGGACTTGTCCCGGTCGTAGTCCCGGTGGAGCGCCATGAAGAGCGAGCGCTCGTCCTCGCCGTCCTCGTCCTCGACGAATGGCGTCGGCGCGATGTCCGCGAGCCCCGCGAGCTTGCCGAAGTACGCGTGCGAGGAGAGCTTCTTCGTGATGCCCCTCCTGATGGTGGCGGCGCGGCCCGCGTCGACGAAGACGGCGTCGGGCGCGCTCTCCCTCGTGAGCGAGAAGTGCATGCCCGCGCCCGCGCCCCGACGCTCCAGCGGCGACTCGCTCCACAACAGGTGGACGATGCGCGCGTCGAGGTCGTCGTCGCGCCGCAGCTCGACGCGCCGCGCCGTCGCCGAGAGCCCGCCGTCGGCGTTGCGCCTCGTGTAGTAGACGTGCACGCCGAAGTACATGCCGAGCGCGAGCATCAGGAGGTAGTCGCCCCAAATCGACGTCCGCTGGTCCGCGTCGTCCGCGCTCATGGCCTCGTACCAGGCGTCGAAGTTCGCGTGGCCGCCGTCGAGGGCTTCATCAATACGGGCTCTCCCGGCGTCGTCGAGCCCGGCGCGATGATCCCGGAGGGCTCGCGCGGCGCGGAGGCGCACGTCCGTGAGGTGTCGGAGCGTCGTGGCGTCCGCGCCGTGCCGCGGCTCGACGCCCGCGGGGTAGTCGCCCAGGGCCGTGACGAAGGACCTCACGAGGCATCTCCCGTCGCCCTCGATCCCGCCCTCGATCTCGCGGAGCTCCGCGGCGCGCGCGAAGCCGCCGCCGTCCAACTCGTCGCCCGCCTCGTCCTCGTCGAGGCCGCCCTCGCCGTCGCCGCAGCCGCAGCCCTCGTCCTGGCAGCCCTCGGCCGAGAGGTCCACGAGGGACTGGCACTCGAAGCCCGTCTTCTCCTGCGTGCCGAAGATCGAGACCTTGAGGTCCGGGTAGGGGAGCGACTGCCCGAGGGACGCCGCGATCGAGTTAGGCAGAGCGACCAGTACTTTTGCTCCTCCGCGTAGAATTTCTCGACGCTCCACGACCGCAGCATCTTCAAAACCCTCGATGTCGTCGTCGCCTCCCAGGCATCATCGATCGTTGCTGCTAATTCGGACGACACCGCGAACTTCGTCGAAAAGTGCACGTTTAATATCGACCGCGCGGCGTCGCAGCTCTTGGCCACCGACCCAGGGTTCGTGCCCCTGAAGCTCTTGCCGCAGCCGTGGCACTCGTAGCGCTTGGTGTCCAGCCAGTACCACTTTTCCAGCGTGTAGACCCTCATCGGCCCGCTGTCGGACCACCGCGCGCTGGCGGGGTTCACGAACATGTGGTGCCCGCAGGTGGGGCACGGCGGCGCGGGGAACCGCGTCGGGTCGCCCAGCAGGTACTCGGGCACGTAGAAGGCGACGTCCGTTTCATAAAACCACTCCCGGCGCGGGAGCTCGGTCGCCGAGCCGCGCGTCATCGGGTCGCGCCGGTAGCAGAACATGCCGTTCTGTAGAAGGCCGCGCGCGCCGGTTCGACCGGCCGCGTCGAGCTGTGCTCGAAGGTCTCGAATGCGTTGCTCGACGACCGGCCCGCAGCTCCAGGACCGCTTCGCGCGCCGCTTGGGCGCCGCCGCCGGCGCCGGCGCCGGCGCTCCTCCAGCTCCCTGCGGCGCGAGCGCCGCGAGCTCGCTCACGGCCGCCAGCGGCGCGTCCTCCTCGTCGACGACCTCGAATTCCTGCACGTTGATGCGCTCGTCGCTGCCGCGGCAGCACGCGAACACGAGCATCGCCAGGACCATTTGAGTTCGGCTCATAGTGCGCGCTTAGCTCTGAAGCTTGTGTACGAAGGACAGAGACTTACGTTGAGTCCTTCAAGGGCCTCCTTGCCAAAGGCATCTCGAGCTGGGCCAACGGCGGCGGAGGGCCATTCCTTCGAAGATATACCTCCTGGATATACCTCCTCTCGGCGCTCGACGACCAGCCATCGAGGTATATCCTTGCACAGCTATATCTGCCGCCAGTGATAGCTTCCCCACGCGGCGCGGCACTTGGCGCGGCACGACTTCAGGCGGCCATCGACGACCTCTTCATCGATCTTAGGCGAATTCCGGACGCGTCCCTCACGGCGCCATGGGCGCGTCGACGCCCGCCGCGTCGCCGCCGTCGTCCGGCGCCGCGGGCTCGTCGCCCGGGACGGGCGACTTGCGGACGGGCGCGAAGAACTGGGAGATGCCCGGCTGGTTCGCCTCCGCCTTGACGGGGAGCTTTTTGGCGACGGGCTTGGGCGCGTACTCGCCGCTGGGGTAGTCGACGCGGAGGAACGCGAAGTTGGGCCGCTCGTGGATGCAGTTCGCGACGTCGGCCGCGCGGATCATCTTCTTGCCGGACGCGGCGAGGTGGGTCTCGCGCGCGAGCTGGGCGACGAAGATCTCCGTCGCCTTGGAGATGACGGCCGTCGCCTCCTTGGACACGGACTTGACGTCCGGGTCGAGCTTGCAGATCTTCTTGACGCGCGCGACGGGGATCACGGTCTCGTAGGGGTCGATGGGCGCGGCGGGCTTCTTCGGCGCGGGCTCCGGCGCGTCCTTCTTCTCCCGCTCGTAGCGCGCCTTGTCCGCGGCGGCGATGTCGACGTACTTCTGCTTGCCCGCGTCGTCGAGCGCGCGCCACTTCTCGCTGAGCATCTTCGTCACCTCGCCGACGTTCATGCCCGGCTTCTCGGCCTTGACGGCCTCGCGCTGCTCGCTGCAGAAGTGGAGGAAGGCCGACACGGCCTTCTTCAACGGCGCGCGCGGCGGCGGGTCGCCGCCGGAGGCGATGGCGGCGCCCTCGGCGAAGCCGCTGCTCTGGGCCATGGCCACCTCGGGCGGCGGCGCCTCGGCCTTGACGGCGGCGGGCGCCGCGTCCACGTCCATGGGCGTGTCCGCGGGAGCCTCCGGCGGCGCGACGGCGGCGGACGACGTCTCGCTGGGCGTCGCCTCGACCTCCATCACCTTTGAAATCGAGCTCTGCGAGAGCGGCTTTGTCACTTCATCACCGACCTGGGGCGTGAGCCTCGTGTCGCCGCGGCCGCAGCGCAAGTCGCAGCGCACGCGTGCAAGGCGTCGTGCAGCCGCACGAGCTTGAGGACCACCGCCCGATAAACTTAAGACTCGTCGCCCGACGACGACGACTCGGACTCGGAGTAGTCCGACGACGAGGAGCGGTCCGGGTCGTAGGGCCGGAACGGGTCCTCCGGCGGCGTCCAGCGGCTCTCGCCGGTCTCCGTGTTGAAGTAGTACAGGCGCTTGTGGTTCTCGTCGTAGCCCTCGCGCCAGACGAAGGACTCGTCGGACGCCGACGACGCGCTCGCCGCGCTCGCGTCGTCCGCCGGTTTCTCCTCGGGCGTCGTCGCCGCGGACGCCGGCGCCGGCGCGGGCGCCTCCGCGTCCTCCGCGTCCTCCTCCGACGAGCCGCCGTCGCCCTCGGGGACCCGGGGCGTGTCCGGCGCGCCCCGCGGGTCCCGGGGCTCCTCCGCGTCGAGGACCATGCGCGCGGGCGACGCCGGCGACGCCACGACCGCGGGCGTCGTCATCGGCGACGGCAGCACGTCGCGCAGGAAGTCCGACGCGTCGGGCGTCTGCGCGGGCGGCAGCGTCGGCGAAGGCCTGGTGCCCGCCGTCGGCAGCGCGGCGAAGGCGTCGACCGTCGGCGCGGGCGCCTCGAGCACGGGCGTCGCCGCGGCTTTGTCCTCCGGCGACGGCGCCGGCGACCGAGCCGGCGACGGCGCCGGCGACTCGTCGGGCGCCGACTCCCCAGCCGCCTCCTCCTCCTCCTCGGGCGCCGACTCCTCGTCGGGCGCCGACTCCTCCCCGGCCGCCTCTGTCCCCTCCGCCGCCTCCCCAGCCGGCGCGTCCTCGGCGGCGAGGTCCGGCAGCAGGTCCTCGATGCGCGCGACGCCGGCGATGATCGCGGCCTCGCCGCGCGCCGCGTCGAGGTCGTCGACGGTCGCGGCGCGCGTCGCGGACCGCGTCGCCAACGGCTCGGCCGCGGCCTCGTCGCGCAGGATCGCGTGGAGCTTGGGCTCCGGCGCCGTGTGCGCGCGGCGGCGGCGGCCGTCGTCGCCGGCGGCGCGCGGCGCGGGCGTCTCGAGCACGGCGGCCGCGGCCTCGGCGGGCTCGACGACGGGCTCCGGCGGCGGCGGGTCGTCGGCCGGCGGCTGCTCCGCGGCCCAGATGCTCAGCGCGGACGAGATGACGTCGACCTTGATCGCCGCGGCGTCGTCCGCGCCGCCCTCGCACGCGTCGAGCACGGCCTCGACGGCGTCCTGCACCGTCTCGCGGCCCAGGTCGCCGTCCCGCGGCGGCGCCGGCGGCTCCTCGGCGTCGGGCCCCGCGTGGCGCGCGAGCTCGCGCTCGAGCTGCCGCGCGAACGCCGCGAGCCTGCGCGCGAATCAAATCTTCAACCCGACTGCAATGTGCGCGTATTCAAAGGTTTCAAGCACTTTCGCCGTGCTTCGAGAACCCGATGAGGGCAATCGACTCGTCCAAAAATCAGCAAAATCGACGTCGATGTGACCGAGCTGGAGAGTTTTGAAGTTTGGTCAGGACCCAGTGGTTGGTTTCCGCGCCGCCGCGAGCGGGTGGCCGCCCTCGCCGTCGTCGCCGCCCGGCGACTCGGGCGCCGCGGGCTCAAAGGCCGCGAGGGGGTGGCCCTCGACGTCCGGCGACCGGGGCCCCGCGTCGTCGCCGCCGTCGCCGGGCGCGCCGTCGGCCGCCGTCTTCGCCACCAACGCCTGGAGCGCGCGCGCGGCGTTCGTCGCGTCCTGCCACGCGGCGGCCGCGGCCCGCAACCGGTCCGGCCGCGCGATGCAGCGCATCAACGCCGACTCCGGCGGCGGCTTGACGGCGAGGACGCCGAGGTCGCAGAGCCGCGCCTTGAAGACGCCCGAGCACGCGTCCGCGCCGAGCTTCTCGTCCGCGTCGAGGCGCTCCAGCACCTCGAGCGCGCGCCGCGCGGTCAGCGTCTGCGTCTTGAGGTCGCCGAGCCAGCGGTCGAAGGCCTCGGCCTCCGTCAGCGGCTTCGCGGGGTCCGCGGCCTCTTTAGCCGCGAGCGACTCGAGCGCGGCCTCGACCTCGACCTGGGCAGGAAAAGAGTGATTCAAGTTCGCTTCAACATGAGTGTTCCGCGCGTGCGCGTTCCGTTAACAGCATGCATACTTCGAGACCGTTCCGAGAGATGACCGCTCGTCCAAAAATCAGCCGAAACGAGTGGAAAACGGCCGAGATAGGAGCCTTTGAAGTTGGGAATTTCGCTCTCTTTTCCTGCCCTGACCTCGACCTTGGGCGGCGCCGCGGCGGAGACGACCGTGCGCGGCGGCGCCTCGGGGCTCTTGGACGCGCGCAGCACCGCGTTGCGCCGCTTCTCCGCGGCGGCCGCGTAGCCGCCCGCGCCCGCGCCGGCCGCGCCGAGGCCGCCGACGGGCCACTGGCGGTAGCGCGGCCGCGCGCCGGGCGAGGCGACTTTTCGCGGCGACCGGCGCGGCGACGGCGCCGTGGCCGGCGACCCCGGCGGCGACGGCAGGCCCACGTTCTCGTCCATGGCGTGGCCGAAGATTTTTTGGGGCGGCTTGCGCGTCGCGGCCTTGGCCCGCGTCTTGTGCGCGGGGTGGTCGGCGAGGAGCGCCGCGGCGCGCTTCGCCTGGGCCGACCGCGACGTCTTGGCCGCCGGCTTCCGCGCGACGTTGACGGCCGCGAGCGCGTCGCGCGGCTCGAAGCGCCGCGCGAGGTCTTTGGCGCCGCGCGCGTGGCGCCGCGCGTCCGCGAGCTTCTGGCGGAGGCGCCGCTCGCGCCGGTCCGCGTCGCCGGGCGCCTCGGACCGCCGCGAGTCGCCGAGCGTCGCGCCGGTCCGCGCCGTCGACGCCGCGGGCGTCCCACCGCGAGCGTCCGCGCCGACGTGCTCCTCGACGTCGTTCCGCCGCTCGAGCGCCGACAGGCAGGACCGGTGGAGGGGCTGGCCGTCGACGTGCCGGAGCCGCGGCAGGAGGCCCGTCAGGATGGCCCGGGGGTTGCTCCCCGGCGTCGTCGCGATGGGGCACCCGTCGAGCGCGAGGGTCCGGAGCCTTCGGTTGCACGCGAGCGGCCGCAGGCCGTGGCCGTCCTTGACCCGGTTCCCCGCGAGGTCCAGCTCCTCGAGCAGGCCGAGCCGCTCGAGGCCGTCGACGCGCGCGACGCAGTTGTGGCTCAGCACGAGGATGCGCAGCTCCACGCAGTCCCGCAGGCTGTCGCCGACGGCGCTCACCAAATTCCGCGACGCGTCGAGGCGCTGGAGCGTCTGCGGCAGGCCGCCGCCGTCGTCGACATCCAAACTCCGCAGCAGGTTGTAGCTCACGTCCAGGCTCTCGAGGCTCGGGCACGCGTCGAAGGCCGCCGCGGGCAGCGCGCGGAGCCGGTTCCGGCTCACGTCGAGCGCGACCAGGTTGCCGTAGGCCGCCGCGAGGCTCTCCGGCAGCCGCAGCTTCGCCAGGCGCCGCTTGCTCAGGTCCAGCAGACCGGCGACGACGGCGGCGGGCGGCGGCGCGTCGTCGTCCCGCGGCGGCGGCGGCGGCGAGTCGTCCGACGACGACGCGGCCGCCGCGTCCTCGATGGCCGCGACGGCGAGCGTCGCGCGCGTCCGCGGGCTCGGCGCCTCGAGGCGCGGCGCCGTGGCCTCCGCCGCCGTGCGGAGCAGCCGGAGGTAGGTCTCGTCGTCGAGCGCGGGCGGCGCGGCGGCCGCGAGCGCGACGCCGCGGTCGCCTGGGCAGGACAAGAGAGATTCAACGTCGCTTCAACGTGAGTGTTCCGCGCGCGCGCGTTCCGGAAAAAGCATCCACGCTTCGAGACCGTTCCAAGAGACGATCGCTCGTCCAAAAGTCAGCCGAAACGAGTGGAAAACGGCCGAGATAGGAGCCTTTGAAGTTGGGAACTTCGCTCTCTTGTCCTGCCCTGGCGGTCGCCGGCCGACGCCGCGAGGTCCTCGAGCGACGGCCCGGGCGGCAGCCGCGCGTCCATGTCCGCGAGCCGCGTCGCGAGGGCGTCGACGGGCGCCGGCGCCGGCGGTCGCGCCGGCGGCTCGTCGGGCAGGCGCGCGAGCGCCGCGTCGCGCGCGGACGTCCGCGCGGCGGCCTCGAGGCGGCGCTCGAGGGCCGCGATGGCCTCGGACTGGCGCTGGACGATGGACGCGAGGGCCGCGACGTCGCCGCCCCGGTCCTCGGACGCCTTCGGGCTCGGCGGCGCTCGAGGGACCGGCGGCGCCTCCGACGCGTCGTCGTCGTCGTCGTCGTCGAACGCGCCCGCGAAGCGCGACGGCGCGTCGAGGTCCGCCTCGAGCGCCTCCGACGCCTCCGACTCCGGCGGCGGCGGCGGCGGCGCCGTCGCCCGCGGCGGCGACGGCACGTCCTCGGCGGGCGGCGGCGGCGGCGCGGCCGCGGCCGCGCGCGCGAGCACGCCGAGGCCTCGAGCGTGACGACGGCGCCGTCGAGGCAGAGCACGTCGTCCTCGAGCGGGTCCAGGTCCTTGTAGCCGACCCTCGCGCCCTTGTAGATCTCCGCGAGGGCCGCGTCGGCGAGGGGCCGCGCCAGGGCGACGGCCGCGCCCGTCGACAGCGCCAGCGGCTCGCGGTCCTCGTCGATGGGCCGCAGGAAGGCCTCGCGGAGGTAGAGCTTCGCGTTCGCGTAGTCGAGCAGCGGCTCGAGGCCCAGGAGCTCCGCGGCGTCGGGCCCGCGGCCCGCGGCGCCGTCGAGCTTGAAGCGCCGCACGCAGCCGCCGCGCTTGCCCTCGAGGCCGTGGAGCTGGCGGCAGGCCTCGCCGCCCTTGAGGCGGCCGAGGAGGCCGTCGCCGAGCACGAGGCCGAGCTGGAACTCGGCGAGCGCGCGCAGGCGCAGCACGCTCGCCACCGTGAGCGCGCCGTTGCCGCGCACGTCGACCTTGCCCACGGCCGGGTGCTGCTCGAGGCCCTCGCAGAGCAGCTCGACGACCGCGTCCGTCAGGTCGCAGCCCTTGAGCCGGAGCTCGACGACGCCGCGGCCGCTGCGGCCGAGCGCGCCGTCGAGCTCGCGCCGCACCTTGATGGACAGCGCCACGCGCCGCTCCTGGGCCAGCCGCGCCACGCAGCGCCGGAAGAGGCCGAAGGTGTCGCTGCCCTGGGCGCGGTGCGTGAGCCGCTTGCGCCGCTGCTTCAGCCGGTAGGTGGCGGTCATGAACATGCCGAGGCCCACCATGGTTTCGGGGTGGCTACGGCCGCGCCGGGAGCGCCGCCGCCGACGCGTCCGCCGAGTGCGCCGATTGCGTACTACAGTTTATACGTCGGCATCGTGCAGCCCTTGGGCAAATCAAGGAGGGAAAGGTTTGGGGCAGCCCATGCACCTTGCACTTCCGGGGGCTGCGGCAAGTCTGGGCCAGTGCTTCTGACTACCATCGCGTCGCCCCGCAAGCACATGGCCGCGGCCGCGCCCGAGGGGTCCATGGAGCAGATCGAGGGCCATCTGCTCAAGGAGGGCCATTCCATGCTCTCGCGCTACGCCTCGTGGAAGAAGCGCCTCTTCGTGCTGCGCGTCGCGTCGTCGACGCTCGACTACTACGACGACGGCGCCAAGCCCCGCGTGCTCAAGGGGTCCATCAAGGTCGGGCGCGGCGCGCGGGTCCTCGACGCGCCGAGCCCGGACCGGTCCTTCGTGGTCATCGCCGTCGACGGCACCAAGTTCCCGCTGCAGGCCGAGTGCGACGACGACAAGGCGCGGTGGATGCGGACGATTAGCGCCGTTTCCGCGGGCAACAACGACTTTGACGCCCTGCTCGCGCAGTGGAACACCACGCGGACCCGCGGCCACGTGGCCATCCCCGTGGACGCGGGCGGCGCGGTGCCGCGCGCGCGGACGGAGCGCCGGGAGCGCCGCGCGGAGCGCAAGGCGCGCAAGGAGAAGAAGCGCGACGACGCCGTCGCGTCGTCGCGGAAGAAGTGGGTTGTTGGGGCGACCGCCCTGGTCTTCGTCCTCTGGCTCGCGGGCGTGCTGCCCTGGCGGCCGAAGCACGCGGGCGCCGTCGCGAGCGACTAAGCGTTAGGGATCCCCGCGGAACGCCGAGAGGCAGGGGCTCACGATGAGCTTCGCCGTCTTCAGCACGAGGCGGCCGAGGAGCTTGATGCCCGCGATGCCGCCCGGCGTGTCGCCAAAAAGGTAGTAGAGGAGCGCGGCGATCTGCATGCCGCTCGAGAGCACGATGGCGACGAAGTTGCCCAGGCCGAAGCAGGCGTAGAGCGTCAGCGCCGTCGACGCGAAGAGGGCCAGCGTGTAGGGCAGCTTCCGGAGCGCGACCATCTTCCGCAGCTGCGTGAGCGGCCCGTTGAGCATGAACTTGGCCGCGATGGACGCGACGGTGCCGATGCAGAAGGCCGTGGCGAACTTGGCGGGCTTGATGACGACGAGCGGCAGGAAGTTGAGCGCCGTCGAGAAGAACGCCGCCGCGACCATGAGCAGCGCGACGTACCACTTGAAGCGCTGGGCCCGGTCGAGGCCGCACTCCTTGGGGTCGTGCGCGGCGCTCTTGAAGTTGTCCTTGACGCCGTCGCCGACGCTCCGCGCGCCGTCGGCGACGCGCGCCGCGAAGCCGCCCGCCTGCCGCGCGACGCCGTCGAGCAGCGACTCGCGCGCCTCCGCGTCGTCCGCGGGCGGCTCGCCCCGGGCCGTCGCGGACCGCCACCACCCGGCGAGGCCCGCGTCCGGCGGCGCGGGCGGCGTGTCGTCCTCGAGGGCCACGTCGTCCAGGCCCGCCTCGACGTCGCCGCCGCCGCCGCCCTCGCCGCCGCCGCCGCCGCCGTCGACGGTCGACGCGACGCGCTGGAACGTCTTCGACGCGTCGGCCGCGAGGCGCGTCTTCAGGGACGACGCGTTGACCGCGGCGACGGCGCCGAGCTCGATGGACGTCTTCCGCGCCGCGGCCATGCCCTCGAGCGACTTGGCCTTGGCCTCGTCGAGCTTCTGCTGGATGCTCTCCCACTCCGGGAGCTTGGGCAGGCCGTCGAACCCCTTCATGACGTCCCACCCGCTCTCGCCCCCCATCGTGCTCCGCCGTTCGTACGCCACGGTTGCGGAGTGTGCTACGCGCTTGTCGACAGCGACGCGCCGAGTGTGCTACGCGCTTGTCGTCGTCGGCCTCGCACTCGCAGAGCTGCACGACCTAGGTACCTCGGCACCGTCGACATGTCCCAGCTTGTTGCCCTCTACACAGTTTGCTCGACGCCGGGAAAGCCGACGATGGGCAGCCTCTGAACCCCAGCTTGACGCAACAACCATGGGTTCCACGGTGAGCCTGCCCGAGCCGTTCCTGCCCTTCGCCCTCTTCTCCGTGGGCGACGTCGACGGCCTCATCCACACGCACAAGAACCAGTTCGGCACGTTCATGATCACGCAGGCGCAGCTCGCGCAGATGCTCGGCGGCAGTAAGCACGCGAAGGCGCGCGCGGCGTCGCTGAGCGCGCAGCTCGGCAGCGGCGGCCGCGTCAACGCGCTCGCCTTCCTGTGCGGCGTCGTCGCGTGCAGCCGTCCCGCGGCGCTCCCGGGCCGCGGCGACGCCGTCGCGGCCAAGGCGCGGCGCGTCTTCGACCTCTTCGACCTGTCGCGCAAGGGCGCTCTGGGCGCCGCGGAGCTGAGCATCCTGCTCTTGTCCGTGGCGCGGGCCTTGGAATCCTTTCTGCGGTTAGGCGAGCGCGGCCGCGGATCGCACGTCTTCAAGGAGGCCGACAGCGCGGTCTTCGTCGGCTTGGAGGGTCTCGACGCCGCGGCGAAATTCGTGCTGCAGCGGCCCGAGGAGCCCAAGGCGGACACGCCCGAGGAGGACTCGGCGCGGTCCGTGGGCGAGGATTTGGGGGAGCCCCAGATGGACCGCGAGCGCTTCGCGGACTGGTGCCGCCGCCTTCTGGGGCCGAGCTGCCGGCCGCCGGCGGTGCTCGACGCGCTCCGGGGCCTGGCGCAGGCGGCGGCCGACGGCGACCGCGCCGCGCTCATGCTGCCGCCGGCGTCGCGGGAGGCCGAGGCCGCGGAGGCCGCGGAGGCCTTCGCGGCGGGCTTGTTCGCGCCGTCCGTGAAAGCGGAGCCCCTCTACGGCGGCGGCGGCGGCGACGACGGCTCCCTCTTCGGCGCCGCGACCTTCGACGACGAGACCGCCGCGACGCCGCGCAACGTCGTCGAGGTCGTCCGCGACCGCCGCCGGTCGCGCGACGCGCCGGCGACCGGAGGGGAAGGAGCGCCGCCGGGCAGCGCGGGCGACGGAGCGCCGCCGGGGAGCGCGGACTCCGTCGCCGAGGACGTCGGTCCCACGCCCCGCGGTGCCGCCGCGGCCGGCGGCGCCGTCGTGTCCCCCGGCGAGGCGGCCGAGGGCGCCGCGCCGGGCGGCCCCGTCGTGTCGCCGGGCCCGCCGCCGTCGGCCTCGTCGGACCGCGGCCGCGGCGACGACGCGACGGATTCGAGCTCCGGCTCGGCGAATGACAGCGACGACTACTTCGACGCGGGCGACGCGCGCAACGCGGACCCCCAGGACGCCGCGGCGAAGGCGGCCATGGTCGCCGCGGAGCAGGAGCGGCTCCGGCGCATGGCGGGCGACGAACCCGACGAGGAAGAGGAGGACGCGGAGCTCGCGGAGGAGGACGCGGCGCTCGCGGCCATCGCCGCCGCGGAGCGCGAGCGCCTCAACGCCGAGGCCGAGGACCTGCTCCTCCGCGCCGAGGCCGAGCGCGCGCGCCTCGGCCGCGCTGACGCGGACGCGGACCGCGCCGAGGCCGCGGCGGACGCGGAGTACGACGTCGCCGTCGCCGCGGCGGGCCTCGAGGCCGAGCTCGAGCGCCGCCGCGCCGCGGAGGCCGAGGCTGCGCGGCGCGGCGCCGCGGAGGCGGAGGACGCCGCGCGAGCGGACGCCGTAAACGAAGACCCCGAGGACGCGGACGCCGTGGGCGAGAGCCTCGCGGAAGATCCCGTCGCGGACGCCGACGCCGCGGGGACCCCAGCGACGCCGCGCGACGACGCGGCCGCCTTCGCGGACGACGCGGCCGCCTTCGCGGACGACGCGGCCGCCGTCGCGGACGACGCGGCCGCCGCCTTCGCGGACGACGCCTTCGCGCCGCCGTCGACGCCCGGCGTCGACGACGCCTCCGTCCTCGCGCCGCCGTCGACGCCCGGCGCGGACTCCGTCGCCGCGCCGCCGTCGACGCCCGGCGTCGTGGAGGAGGCGCTCGACGCGCCGGCGACGCCCGCGTCCGCCGAAGTATTCGACGACGTCGCGTCGCCCGTCGCCGAGGACGCGGCGCTCGACGCCTACCTCGCGCCCTCGCCCGGCAAGGACGACGACGCGACCTGGGCGCGCGCGCGCGACGACGACGCGACGTGGATGAGCGACCTCGCGCGGCCCGAGGCGACGCGCGCGCCCGCGGCGCCCGCGGCGCTCGCGGTGCTCGACGAGTGGGCCCGCCGCGACGACGGCGGCGACGTCGCCGACGACGACGACGCGACCATCGCCGACGACGTGACCTGGGACGGCGGCGCCGCGGAGGCGGCGCCGGAGGAGGAGGAGGACGACGACTTCCGGCCGCCGGTGCACTACAAGGTCAAGAAAACGGCCCAGTTCCTCTTCGACGTCCTGGCCGCGGCGCCCTTCTGCGCGGACCTCGACGACGACGCCATCGACGTGCTCGTCATGGCCTTCCGCCGCGTCGACGCCGCGGCGGACGACGAGCTCGTCTCCGAGCGCGGCGCGGCGACAGACATGTACGTCGTCGAGACGGGCGCCTGCGACGTCTGCTCGTCGACGGCGGGCCTCCTGCGCGCCGTGCCGGGCCTCGTCGACGGCGAGACGTCGCCGCGGCGCTACTACGGCGAGGAGGCGCTCGCGCGGCGTTGTCGGCCCGACGCGTCGCTCGTCGCGAACCGCGCGTCGCTCGTCTGGGCCCTCGACGCGCGCACGTTCCGCCACGTCATCAAGGGCGTGCCCGCGGCCCTGGTGGCGCCGCCGCCGCAGGAGGACGAGGCGACGCCCGCGCCGCCGCCGCCGCCGCCGCCGGTGCCGCCGCCGGCGCCGCCGGCCGTCGACGAGCCCGCGGCGGCGGAGGACGCGGCGGACGCGGCGGACGCGGCGGCGGCGGGCGACGTCGGCGCGCTGGAGGACGAGGACTGGCGGCCGCCCGTGCACTACAAGCCGCGGAAGACGGCGAACTGGCTCTACGACGTGCTCGCGGCCGCGCCGTTCTCCGACGGCGCGTCCGACGACGACCTCGACGCCGCCGTCAACGCGATGGCGCCCGCCCGCGCGAGCGCGGGCGCCCTCCTGGCGGCGGAGGGCGCGGCGCCGTCGCGCTTCGTCGTCGTCGAGCGCGGCGCCTGGGACGCGTCCGTCGGCGGCCGGCCGGCGGCGCCCGAGGGGCCGTCGTGGTTCGGCGCCGCGGCGTTGCTCGAGGATCTCCCCGAGCGCGCGACGGCCGCGGCCGCGGAGGACGTCAAGGCCTGGGCGCTCGACGGCGACGCGTTCCTGCGCTTCTTCCTGCCGCGGGCCTCGCGCGAGGCGCGGCGCCTGGCCTCGCGGGCGGCGGCGGCGCGCCCCGAGGCCGCGAAGGACGCGACGCCGACGGCCGCGGAGCTCTTCGTCGAGGGCGTCGACGGCGACGACGACGACGACCCGGCGCTGACGGCGGCGGACGCGGCGCTGGCGTCGGCGCGGCGCCGGGGCGCCGACGGCCTCGAGGCGCCCGAGCGGCTCACGCTGCTCCTCTTCGGCGACCTCGCGAGCGTCGACGGCGTGCGGCAGACGGGCGACTTCGGCGTGCGGCCCGCGACGCCCTACAAGCAGGTGAGCCGCCTCGAGCGCTTCGCGAGCGCCGTCCAGCTCGAGCGGGACCGCTGCGGCCGCGAGGGCGCCGCGGAGCCGCTCCTGCTCTGCTGCGGCGGCGCGTTCTCCGCGTCCGTCGAGAGCACGGTCACCAAGGGCAAGCACCTCGTGCCGCTCCTCAACGAGCTCGGCGTCCACGCGGCCGTGCTGGGGCCGAGGGATCTGGACTACGGCCTCGCGAACGCCGCGCGCCTCGGCCGCGGCTGCGACTTCCCGAGTTTATTGGCGAACTGCGACGACGCGGCGACCGGCTTACCGATCGCGGACGCGATGCGGTCCCAGCTCGTGACCTGGGGCGGCCGCCGCGTCGGCATCGTCGGCGTCGCCGGCGAGGCGTCCCTGAACGCGGCGCGCGCGACCCTGGCCCAGCCGGGCGACGGCGACGACGTCGAGCGGCCCTTCGGCGATCTCGGCGACGACGCGGCGGTCTTCGCGGGCGCCGCGGGGCCCGTCGACGTCGCGCCCGCGTCCGCCGCCGCCGCGCGCGAGGTCGCGGCGCTGCGGGACGCCGGCGCGGACGTCGTCGTCGTCCTCGCGGCCGTCGGGGGAGGCGCGCGCTTCGACGAGCCCGGCGCGCGCGTCGCCCGGGCCTGCGGCGGCCTCGCGGACGTCGTCGTCGTCTCCGGGTCGCGCCGCTCCGCCTACGGCGTCCAGGCCTGCCGCTACGACTTCGCCGGCGGGCTCGCGACCTGGGTCGTACGGTCGCCGTCGAACGTCGAGCGCCTCGCGCGGATCGAGCTCCGGCTGCCGCCGGTCGGCGCGGCCCTGCCGCCGGGCACCCAGGCCGTGCGCCGCGCGGACCTCACGACCGTGAGCGTGGGCACGGGCCGCGGCGTCACGCTGAACCGGTGGCGCAACGGCGACGCGATCACGCGGCTCGTCGCGCGCGCGCGGGACCAGGTCGCCGAGGGCTTGAAGGGCGAGCTCGTCGCGCTCGAGGCCGCGCTCGACGCGTCGGCCGAGGCGCTCAAGGGCGGGCGCAACCTCGAGCAGACGCGCCACGGCGTGTCCGCCGGCGAGCTCGCGGCGGACGTCGCGGCCGCGGCGCTCGGCGCGGACGTCGCGGTCGTCGACGGCGCCGCGCTCCGGCCGCTGGGCGAGCTCGAGCGGCGCCACGCCTTCACCGTCGCGGAGCTCGTCGCCCTCGCGCCCTTTCCCGACGCGCCCAAGGACCGCACGTACCCCGGCGGCACGGCCCAAATCAAGATGAAGAGCGCGGCCGCGGATCTCGTCGTCGACGACGCGCTCCGGCCCGCGACGGCTCTGGCCTACGCGCAGACCGACGCCGGCGAGGTCGCGACGCACGCGACGGCGGGGCCCGGGCTCCTGCTCCTCGAGGCCAGCGGCGCCCAGCTCCTGGCCGCGCTCGAGCGGTCGCTCGCGCGCTACCCGGCGTGGAGCGACGACTTCCCCCACTTCTCCGCGGGGCTCCACGTGACCTTCGACCCGGAGCGGCACCCGGGCCATCGCTTGTTGCGCGGCGGCGTCACGCTCCACGGCGTCGACGTCGACGCGCAGCGGACCTACCGCGTCGCGACGACGCCGCGCTTTGCGCGCGCGGCGTTCCTCGGGGACGCGAACCCGCGCGGCGCGCCCGTCGTCCTCGTCGACGCGCCGGACGGGCCCGTGCTCCCGGCCCTCCTCCGCAACCTCTTCGTCGACGTGAACGCCCTCGCCGACGCGAAGCTCCGCCGCGCGCTCGCGCTCTCGCGACCCGCGCTCGACCGCCTCTCCGCCGCGGGCGGGCCCCTGAAGCGCCGCGCGACGGGCTTCGTCCTCATCCCCGAGAAGGTCGGCCGCATCAGCGTCATCTAACGCAAGGTGGGGCGCAGCAGCGTGATCGGACTAGGCGTTAGTGGCGGCGGTGGCGTCCGCCGCGGGGCTCGCGGAAGCGCCCTCCGGGCTGGCGACCTCCGGGCTGGCGGCCTCGCTCGCGGCCGCGCCGCCGTCGACGGTCTCCGCGTCGTCGTCGTCGTCGCGGTCCTCGCGCGCGACGCGCGCCTCCGTCGCCGCGCGGAGCGCGACGAGCTCCCGCCGGAGCTCGCCGTAGTTCGCCGCGCCCGACGCCGACGACCGGTTCGTCGGGTCGCGGTGGGGCCGCCCGTCCTCGCCGCGCTCGATGGCCGCGTCCACGAGCGCCAGGATATCGTCGAACTTTCGCAGGAACGCGTCGGCCACAAACCGCCGCATCGGCTCCGGCATCGCCCGGTACTCGGCGCTCGACGCGTCGACGTTGCGCGCGAGCGCGTAGCGGAGCGTCGCGTACCGCAAAAACTCGTTGTAGGGCGCGCAGGCCGCGTCCGACGCCGCCTCGCGGCCGGGCTCGTTGACGTAGGGCCGGTCGTGCATCAGCGACTGGATGCTCAGGAGCACGGACGCGAGCGACTGCGTCGGCGACCACGACGGCCCGGCCCACGTGCCGAGGATCGAGAGGCAGACCTTGCCGTTCGCGTACAAATTCGGGTTGAAGCCCACGGTGCCCCGGCCCGTCGTCGCGAGCTCGACCTTGGGGCAGTCGCACGGGTACGCCGGCGGGAACCGGACCTTGAAGTGGAAGAAGCCGCCGGCGTAGGGCGTGCCCTCGAGGCCGACGATCATCGCGTCGACGGCCGTGAAGTCCGCGTCGTCGGCGACGCACGCGAAGAGCATGCCGCCGGCGTCGCGCTCCAGGGCCCGCAGGTCGTTGCGGATGCGCCGCAGGCAGTGCTTCGACGGCGGCGCGGTCGTCGCTGTCGGTGCCGGCGGTGCGGTCGCGGTCGGTGCGGCGGCCGGCGCGGCGGCGGCGCCGCCGCCGAACCAGCCCGAGAAGAAGGACATGGGTGCGGTGCTGGAGGAGCGTGAGGCGGCGGAGGCTCTCCCGCGTCGGCGCGCGCGTGAGGCGGCGGAGGCTCTCCCGCGTCGGCGCGCGCGCACGAGCTGGTCTGGCGGGCGCAAGTCAGGGGCCAGAGCCTCGCGTCTGGTTACATCCACTTCATCAAAAGTGGAGATACATTAACTTCTTCAAACAACATTGATTCTTGAATTAATCGATCAATACTAACCCTGATTTCGGCAGCATTTCGCACGTCGATGTCGATGGACGGACAACTTTCGACACGGCATTCGGCATGTTCCAGCCCACAGGGGGAGAAAACGAGCCTACATCGCCGTAGGAACTCGGGGGCGGAGATTCCAAAACCCCAGTCTGATCCTCGCGGGGACGCGCAGAAGCTGAGATCATTAGGGCCCGCGCAGCGCGCAGGACGTGGAGCCCGCCGCGCTCGAGAACCACAATGCGCTATGGCAACTCCTTCGAGATGGAGCCGCGTCGTGAGGGTCCGCCGCAGCTGCCAGGAGGAGTTGCTATAGGGTTGCCCATGTGCTGCGGACGCGCGACGCGGAGGCAGCCCGCAGTGTGAGATCTAGTGTCCGCAGTTGGGCGGACGAAAGATCAATCGGCAGCCGTCGATAGATATGTTTTCGCGCGCTCGTTGGGGTAACTTTTTTGATAAAGTGGATGAACTGTTCGTAAACTGGTGATGCTAAGACTCTAAGAGTTAGCGTTGACGGCAATGGTTCCGTGTTGAAGACCCGCTAGCGCTTATGGGGCAGCCTTCCTGCGCGGAAGTTCCGCCTCTCTGATGTAGTCGACTAGCAAGAAAGGGCGCGCGGAGGCATGCGCCGCAACACGGGCCGCGCGCGCGCCGCGGAGCTGCGCTTCTATCGCCACGCCGTCGAGGAGACGCACGCGGCCATCGACGACGCCGCGGCGGCGGCGGACGACGGAGGCGACGCGTCGTCGCTCCACGTCGTCGTCGAGGTCCAGCGCGCGCGGGGCCTCGCGGCCGTCGACAAGAAAGGCCACGCGCACCCGTTCTGCGCGATCACGCTCGTCGAGGCCACCACGGGCAAGGCTCTCCCGAAACCGCACCACAAAGCTTCCCGGACGCGCGTCGTCAAGGGCACGACGGCGCCGAGCTGGGAGACGACGCCCGAGCGCTTCGCCTTCGACGGCGTGCCCGTGGGTGCGGCCGGCCCGCCGAAGCTGCGGGTGGACGTGCTGAGCTACACGTCCGTGCTCTCGGCGCCGAAGCCGTTGGGGCGCGCGGCGGTGTCGCTCGCGGGCCTCGGCCCCGCGGCCGCGGCGCTCTGGCTGCGCCTCGAGCCCTTTGGGTCCCTGAAGGCCGCGACCGGCGAGGTGCTCATCAAGGTCTCGACGCGCCACAGCCACGCCGTCGGCGACGTCCCGGAGGAAGTCCTCGACGCCGAGGCCGCGCGCTGGTTCGTCGACGAGCCCGTCGTCGCGGACCCGCTCCACACCCACCCGCCGAACTGCCTCCGCGTCGCCGTCGTCCGCGGCCGCGGGTTGCGGGCCATGGACGGCAAGGGCGTCGCGTCGTCGCTCCTGGGCACGGGCCGCGGCGGGAGCAGCGACCCCTACGTGACCGTCGGAACGAAACGCTTCGTCGCGAAAACCAAGGTCAAGGCGAAGACCCTGGACCCGGTCTGGATGGAGGCCTTCGAGCTCGAATACGACGCGGGCGACGCGTGGCTCCGGCTCCGCGTCGACGACAGCGACGTCGCGGGCCACGAGTTCATGGGCAGCGGCCTCGTCAAGCTGAGCGAGCTGCCGCCGAGCCACGACGACGACGGCTCGGCGACGGCCTTCTGGGTCACCTTGATCGACGGCGACTGCGGCCACGACGAGCTCGAGTACGACTCCTTCCGCCTCAGGGCGCGCGACCGCGAGACAAATTTGGGCGAGATCAAGGTCGCCGTCAAGCTCTGCTACGACCGGCGCCGCGACCCGTCCGAGGACCGGCCCTTCTTCGACGAGGCGCCGGACCCGGCGGCCGCCGGCCGCTGGCCCAACGAGCTGCGGGTCGCCGTCTGCCGCGCGGAGGGGCTCCGCGAGGGCGACGCGGCGGTCTTCCGCTCCGGCAGCGGCTCGAGCGACCCCTACGTGCGCCTGAGCCTCGAGGGCGACTTTTGCGAGCTGCTCCAGCGCACGAAGACGGCCATGAAGACGACGCACCCGGTCTTCAACGAGATCTTCGCCTTCGAGCTCGACGGCGACGCCGTGTGCCGCCGCGCGAGGGGCGCGCCCTTCGCCCTGAAGCTCGAGGTCTTCGACTGGGACTGGATCGGCGACGACGACTTCCTCGGCCAGTGCCGGCTCCCCCTGCCGGACCTCGTCGACTACGCGCTGCACGACGCGCGCGCGGCGCCGCGGGCGTGGGTCGACCTGACGGAGGCCGACGGCGCGACGGCCGCGCGCGGGCGGCTCCAGGTCGCGGTCCAGTGCCGCTTCAACCCGGACCGCGCCTTCGAGCCCTTCCGCGGCGACGCGGGCCTGCGGCACCGGCCGCCGAACGAGCTCCGGCTCGGCGTCTTCAAGGCGCGGCTCCTCGGCGCCGCGCGGGAGGACCGTCGCGCGGGGGACCTCGCGGTCGCGTTCCGCGTCCTCGGCGGGCCCAACGCCGAGGAGGTCTTCCTCTCGCGGGCCGTCCCCGCGGGCGACGGCACGGAAGACCCCCACTGGCGCGAGGTCCTCGAGCCCGCGCCGCTCGACCCGCCGCCGGCCTACGACCACGGCGCGCCGACGGCCGCGGCCATCCCCTACCGCCTCGAGGTCGTGTTGCGCCGCGGCGCGGACGGCGTCGTCGGCACGGGCTTTTTCGATGTAGGCGCCCTCGGCGCCGCGGTCCCGCGCGCGCCCGCGCACCCCGCGGTGACCTGTTTCGACGCGTCGTGCGTCGCGGCGGCGACGGTCTACGTCGCCGTCGCCTGGACCCACAACCCGGTGCGTTCGTCCTGCCTTTGTTGTGACACGTGATCCTTCTTCTTCCCCCGCAGGGCCTCTACTACACGCCCTTCCTCAGGGAGCCGCCGTGCGACGAGGAGCCGAACGTTTTGTGCGTCGCGCTCGTGCAAGCGCGGGACCTCGCGGTCAAGGACCGGGGCCTCCTCAAGTCGGCGGCGCACGCGGCGAACAAGCTCCACCTCGCGCACTTCGCCGAGTCGAGCGCCGACGGCTCCGCGGACCCGCGCGCGGTCTTCAAGGTGAGGAGCCGCGTCGACGGCGCCGTCGCCGTCGCGTGGCGCTCGTCCACGGCGCCAAAGACGCTCCACCCGGTCTGGCACGAGCAGTGGAAGCTGCGCCTCGATCGATCGGACATCGCCGCGCCCGTGCTGTCCCTCGAGCTCGAGGACGTCGACGCCTACACGAAGAACGACTTCATGGGAAGAGTCGACGTCGACCTGTCGCCGCTCCTCGACCGCGAGGTCCACCGCGGCTGGCACAAGCTCCTGTCGACGCGCGCGGGCGACAGCGACAACGTGCGGGGCGCCGTCGAGCTCGTGCTCAAGTGGTGCCGCGACGACAGGGCGCCCCCGCCGCCGCCGCCGCCCGCGCCCGAGCCCGAGCCCGCGCCCGCGCCGGAGCCCGAGCCCGGCGTGGGCCTCTTCGGCGCGGGTCTCGTCGCCGCCGCCGCCGCGCGGGCCCACCACCACCACGACGAGCCCGAGCCGGAGGCGGGCATGGGCCTCTTCGGCGCGGGTCTGGCGGCGGCCGCGGCCGCGCGCCACCACCACGACGTCGTCTCGGAGTTCCTCCAGGCGCCCGTGGAGGTGGCCAGGACGCCGCGCGACGACGACGACGACGACTCGGACGACGACGACGACGACGACGAAGAAGAGGTCCTCGCGACGCTCCAGGAGTGGGAGGCGCTCGAGGTCTTCGTCGAGCCGCCGCGGCGGCGGGGCGCGGCCGCGAACGCGCTCGACGCGACGCGGCGGAGCCGGAGCCGCCCGACGGCGGCGGACGGCGCCTGGGAGGTGCGGCGCGTGCGCGTCGCGTCGGACCGCAAGGCCGGCGCCTGGCTGCTCCACGGGCGGGACCAGGCCGCGGCGCCCGCGCCCGTCGACCGCGGCGACGGCCGGGAGGAGGAGGCGACGGGCCGCGCGCCGGCCGTCGCCGAGGGCCGCCTGTCGCTCCGGCGCGTCCACCTCTGCGACGTCTGCGTCTGCGGGGGCGACGGCTTCGCGGGCCGGAAGTGGGTCGTGCGCGTGACGTCCGCGACGGTCCGCCGCGTGTCCGCCGCGAACCCCGAGTCCATCGTCTCGCTCCGCGTGAGCCTCGACGGCGAGGCGGCGGCCTGGGCCTTCCGGCGCGACGTGCTGCGCCGGCGGTCGGCGCTGCCGCCGGGGAAGCTGCCCCGCCGCGCGGACCGCGACGAGCGCGCCGCGGAGTTCTGCGCGGCCTGTGGCTCGGGCGACCTCGACCGCGCGAGGGCGCTGCTCGACGCCGTCGCCGTCGACGCGCGCGACGCCAACGGCGCCGGCGAGACGGCGCTGACGCGCGCCGTGCGCCTCGCCGTCGTCGCGGGCGGCCGCCGCGACGCGCCGCGCTACGGCCGCGCGCTCGACATCCTCGACCTGCTCATGGACCGCGGCGCGGATCCGTACGCGCGGTCCTACGAGGGCCAGTCCGCCGTCGACGTGCTCACGACCATGGCGGACCTGCACACGGGCGTGCCCGCCGAGGCCTTCGACGCCGTGCGCGCGATCATCGGCCGCGCCGCGCTCGGCTACCACGAGGGCGGCATCCAGTTCCTGACGGCGCGCGACGCGGACAAGGTCCGCGCGTACCAGAAGCACGAGCGCGCGCTCGTCGAGGCGAAGCGCATCGAGGAGCGGCTCCGCGACGCGGGCATGGCGCACGCCGTCGAGCCCGAAAACGACGAGCCCGCGCCGGCCGCGCCGGACGACGTCGCGCACGTCGGCGAGCTCAAGCTCTGGACGAAGCAGTCCTTCGGCACGGCGGCCATCTACGCGGCGGAGAACGACACGGAGGACACGGGCCAGGTCGAGCTGACGACGCGCGCGAAGCAGCGCTTGGCGGACGCGCTGCGCATGCACGGCGACCCGCGGAGCGACCCGCGCAACTTCATGCACGGCGCGCGGCGCGCGCCCGCGGCGCCGACGGGCGACGACGCGGCGGATTTCATCCTCGGGCTCTTCGGCGGCGACGTGACCATGGACGCCAAGTACGGGCCCGCGGCGCCGACGGAGACCGTCGAGACGCGCGCGCACGACCTCGCGCTCGAGCTCGAAATCACGCCGTCGTCCAAGGCCGACCGGGCCGCCGCGGCGAAGGAGGTGGCGTCCGCGCGCGTCGACGCCGCGCGGCGCGAGGCCGCGGCCGCGCGCGCGTCCGCGGCGGAGGAGCGCGTCGCGGCCGCAAGGCGCGAGGCGGCCAAGTTCGCCAAGCCGCGGCCGGTCTCGGCGTCCGCCGCGCGGCGGGAGGCGACAAAGGCGCCGGGCGGCCGGCCGGCGTCCGCGGGCGCGGCGAAGCCGACGGCGGCCGCGGGCGGCAAGCTTTTGGTGGGCATGTCGCTCGCCGCGGGGCGGCCGCTCGACTGGGGGAAGCAGCTCCCCGGGAAGCGGCCCGCGTCTGCGGGCGCTGGGAAGCGGCCCGCATCCGCGGGCGCCGGCCGGCCCGCGTCCGCGGCAGCCGCGCGGCCCGCGGGCGTGGCTGCGTCGGGCTTCAACGACAAGATCCGGAACCGCGAGGCGGCCGAGGCGGCGCTCCGGCCGCGGTCCGCGCACCCGACGACGGCCTGGGAGCAGTTCCCGCTGGGGCCTCGGGGTTGCAACATCAATCCGACGACCGAGGAACCGTTCTTGCTCGGCGTTCGGAACAAGCAGCAGGTCCCCGCTACCGTCAAAAAGTACGGCACGCTCGTGAAACACCCGGACCTCCTCCACTTGCCGCCGCCGCATTGGCATCGCGCGGCGTCCAACTTTTTTTTCGCGCCTGGCAACCATCGCACACGCCTAGGCATCACTACAAGGAGTCCGCGTTCACGCGCCGCACCGCGCCGAAGGCCGACGAGGCGGCGCAGGCGCGCGCGCGGATGACGCGCGTCGACGTGTCGCGGCGGCCGACGTCGGCGAAGCCCCGCGGGCGGGACGCCCGCGGTACGACGCGGCCGACGTCGGCTCCCGCGCGGCGGCGCGCGGCCGCGGCGCCGGCGCCGTCCCTGGCGTCCGCGCGGCCGTCGTCCGCGGCGGCCGGGAAGCGCGCCCGCGCGAAGATGATCCCCATCGGCTACGGCGGGCGCATGCGCCTCGTCGTGACGCGCGCGCCCGACTAGTAACCGCTATCGCAGGAAGCCGGAGTCGCGGAGCTGGATGACCATCGCGGCCTGGCAGTCGAACTTGACGCGCTCGTAGGAGACGCGGCCGAGGTGGCGCGCGACGCGGTTGTTGGACCGCGTGATCGCGTTTGAGTTCTTGCCGACGTCGATGACGGAGCGGTACTGCTCGTCGTAGAGGTGCTGCTCGAGCGTGTCGCGGAGCATCTCGTTCGAAGCGCGGCACTCGCGCTCGAGCTCCTCGATCTTGTCCTTCGGCGGCTTTCGACGCGGGATTTTGCGCACGCTCTTGGTCAGCAATAAGAGGTTCTTCTTCGGCAGCGGCTTCGACCGCACGGCGTCGTTCGACGTGTCGACGGGCACGGCCCACGGCAGCGGGTCGTTTTCCGTCGGGTCGAAGCGGTTCCGGCGCCGCCGCGGCATGGGCCGGAGCTGCGGGAAGTAGTCGGGCTTTTTTTCCTTCTTCTTTTTGCGCTTTGGCTTGGGCTTCGGCGGCGGCTTTTCCTCGTCGCTGTCGGGCTCGCTCTCGGGCTCGGGCTCCGGCGGCGGCGCCTCGGCGGCGTGCGAGCTCCGCACGCGCTCGGGCCGGTCCCACTCGAGGGGCGCCTTGTTCCGTATGTCGAGCGCGAATATCTTGAGGCGCACGTCGAGGAGCCGGAGCCGCGCGAGCCACTTCCGCGCGCAGCGCTGGATGCGCCGCGCGGCGCGCGCGGCGAGGTTGCCCGCCGCCGCGCCGCTCCCCGCGCCGCCCCGCAGGCTCATGAGGTACTCGGCGGCCTGGGCGACGGAGTTCCGCCGGCCGACCTTGAGCGCCTCGACCGCGCCGCGCGCCATCTCCTGTTTGGTGGCCGAGGTGACGTAGGCCTCGAGGACGTCGTGCTCCTTGCGCTCCCTGCGCTCCCGCCGCGAAGCGTCGCGCTCCCGGGCCATGGTCGATCGATAGCCCTTGCCGTGGTCCACGCCGGCGCCGTGGTGCCCGAAGGCCGAGTCGTGGTGCTCCAATTGCGGGCGATGGGAGAGCTGCTTCTCGAGGTGGGGGCGATAGGAGGGCAGGTGCTCGAGGTGGGGGTGCTGGCCGCTCCCCGGGCGACCGTGCTGGCTGCTCCCCGGGCGATTCGAGCTCCCCGGGCGCCCCGAGCCATGGTGCTGGGACATCGTGCCTCTACATCAGCGCCGCAGCTGCCCACGATGTTGAAGCCGCGGAGCAGTGCAATCTCAGCTCCCGCTGAGCTGTCACGAGCCCGACGAAGGAGCGTGTCGTCGCGCAGCTCACGCCGCAGTAACACGAGCTCACGCCGCAGTAAGACAAGCTCACGCCGCAGTAACACAAGCATGCGCGCCGCCTTGCTCCTCGCCACGGCCGCGGCGCTCGCGCCGACCCAGCGCACGCGCCGCCGCACCGCGCCCTTGCAGTCGTCGGTCGTCGACGCGGCGAACCCGCGGAGCGTGGGGCTCGCGCTCGAGCTCGACGACGGCACGCGCAAGGTGCACTCCGTCGCCGAGAACACGCAGTTCGTCACGGGCTTCTTCCGCGGCCTCGGCAGCTCCGACGCGTTCGCGGCGCTGTCGACGTCGTTCTACTACGTCTACGACAGCGTCGAGCGACAGGAGTGTTTTTTCGCGTGAATTTCGCCTGAAGATGTGAAGAATTCCGACCCCGTCGCACTTGGTAGGTCTACGAGGCCATGGAGCGCCAGATGGACGAGACGACGTCCCCGACGCTCAAGGCGCTCGACTACCCGGCGCTGCGCCGGTTGCCGGGCCTCGAGCGCGACATGGAGTTTTACTACGGCGCGGACTGGCGGACGGCGAAGCCGCGGCCGAGCGCGGCGACGCTCGCGTACGTCAAGCAGATCGAGGCGGTCGGCGCGGGCCCCGAGCCCGAGCTCCTCGTGGGCCACCTCTACAGCCGCTACCTCGGCGACCTCTTCGGCGGGCAGATGATGTCGGGCATGGCCGTCAAGTCGCTCGGCGACTCCGTCGGCGACGAGGCCGGCGGCCTCTCGTTCTACGCCTTCGACGCCATCCCGAACACGAAGGCCTTCATCACCGAGTGGTACGAGACGCTCAACGGCCTCGACCTCGACGACGCGCAGCGCGCGGCCATCGTCGACGAGGCCAACGTCGTCTTCCGGCTCAACATCGCCATCTTCGACGAGCTCGAGGGCAACCCGCTGAAGAGCTTTCTGTCGGTCGCCCTGAATTCCCTCAAGGAGAAGCTCTTCGGCTAAGTATCCTAGCTGACGCGGATCTGCGTCGCCGTGACGCGGAGCGCGAGGTCCCGCCGCCCGTCGCCGCGCACGACGAAGTCCCCGCCGTCGCGGGGCTCGACGACGCGCGCGTCCGGGAAGTGGCGCCGGAGCACGACGCGCGCGGCGGGCGGCGCGCCGCCGCAGGCGACGACGCAGTCGCAGCCGAGCCACGCGGCGGCCGACGACGCGAGCTTCGCGAGGAGCAGGAGGCGCGCGAGGGGCGCGTCGGCCTCGAGCGACGGCGCGCCCGTCGCGCACAACTCCGCGACGTCGTCGAGCACCAGAAGCGTCGGCCGCGGGCCCGCGGACTCGGGCCAGGCCTGCACGCTGTTCAGGTACCAGGCGACGTCGCCGCAGCTCTCGACGTACTTGAGCCTCACGCGGTCGAGGCCCGCGTCGGACCCGTGGCCGCCGAGGTCCGCCGGCGCCGCGGCGCCATCGCCGAGCACGGCGAGCGGCGGCGCGCCGCGGCGCCGGCCGACGACGAGCGCCGACGCGTCCGCGCGCCGCCGCGCGTGCCGCGCCGCCAGCGCGAAGGCCAGCGAGCTCACGACGCGCGCCGGCCCGAGCAGCGCCGCCGAACCGATGGCGTCGAGCTCATCCATGTGTGCCGATCGCTGCGGCGCGTCGACGACGCGTGCTATGCACAACTACGACGCGTGCGCGCCGATTGAAGTGTGTGCGTGCGCGCGCGTCCACACCGACGGCCTTGCGCGCTGGGGCACCTCGCGCGCGGCGCCGCGACGGTGGAGTTGGTGGGAAGCCTCGACGGCCCAAGCTCGACTCGGAGCAGTCTCGAGCGCTCCGGCAGTGCCGGCAGCCGCGCCGCCGCCGCCTCCGCAGCGGCTCTGGCAGCGGTGCCGATGAGCCGCATGCCGGCGGCACGCGCGACGGCTCGCGACGCCCCCGAAAACACGAGCTCGCCTTACCGCTTGTTCCGCGTCGGGATCTTCTTCCCCGCGGCCCGCGCCTTCTCGGCCTTCTTCTTGAGCATCTTCTCGTTGTCCATCTTCTCCTCCTTGCGGCAGGTGTAGACGTAGTAGACGTCCTCGGGCTTCTTGAGCTGGGAGACCTTGTACTGGTTGGGCATGAGCTTGGGGATCGCGTGGACCTCGACCTCCCAGGCGAGGAACCCGTCGGACTCCTCGTCCGTGTCCTCGATCTTGTCGAGGCGGTTCTCGGGGAGGCCGAAGGAGACGCAGAAGAAGAGGCCCTCGGGCGTGAGGATGCGGTCCATCTCCTGGAGGTACTTGTGCGTCTGCTTGCCCGGGACCTCGGAGCAGTAGAGCGCGTCGAGGAGGGCCTTGTCGACGACGACGTCGAAGATCTTGTCGTTGAACATGGCGGTCAGGTCCGTCGCGTCGGCCTGCTTCCACTGGATGCCGCCGAGGTCGTCCTCGAAGTACATCTTCGGGATCTCCTTCATGCTCGCCTCGCCCTTCTTCTTCTTCTTCTTCTTGATCTTCTTCGAGATGGACTCGTAGCGCATGGCCATCTCGTCGACGACGACGCGGCTGATGTCGACGTTGAAGAGGGACGTGTAGCCGTCCTCGTACATGTCGCGCGCCATCTCCGACGACCCGCAGCCGACGAGGAGGATGTGCATCTCCTTGGTCATGAACTGCTCCAGCAGCGGCTTGAGCGCCGCGTAGTCGTGGTACCACTCGAAGGGCTCGCAGTTCACGTAGTAGCGCTCGTCCCAGAACCCGGGGCTCCCGAACATGCACGTGTCGTCGGGCACGGGGTCGTAGAGCGCCGCATCGCCGAGGAGCTTCCGCCGCGCCGGCGGCATGGCGGCGGGATCGCGGCGGTGTAGTTCACGCGCGGTCTTTAAGGTTGGAGCGACGATGCCACGCTGGAAGCGATGTGGCAGCTACCTCTCGAGCACCATCGTCGTTGGCTGCCGACTACAAGAACGTCAAGGTCGGCTGCACCCTCCTGAGCTGCAGTCGAGCTGTGCGGACGCACTCGCTCGCCTCGCGCCGCTGCTTGCGGTCCTCACGAGCGCGCGATCGCAGCAGCAGCTCGCCGCGTGCATCCGACGACGATGCGACGCTCATTCCTGCTCCTGCTCGCCGCGGCGGCGGCGCGCAAGGTCCAGAAGCCGCCGGCGGACGACCTCTGCAAGATGTGCTGGCAGGTCGCCGTGCAGGCGCGGCGCGCCCTGGGCTTCCACGTGCGGCGCGACGCGGCGCCGAACGCGACGACGTGGAAGCGCGCGCTGCTCGCCGGCTGCCCCGCGGGCGCGGGCCGGCGCCGGTGCGAGGAGGACCTCGTGGGCCGCCACGCGGAGGACCTGGCCTACGAGCTCGAGGACCTCTTCGACGAGGCCGAGGGCGACGAGACGTTTTTGAACCTCGGCGAGGTGTCGGCGGCGCTCTGCGGCCACGAGTCGCCGACGAAGGCGTGTCCGCCCGACGTGCACGGGCTCCGCCCCGTCGAGGACGACGTCGCCAAGAACGACGCCGGCGGCAAGGGCGTCAAGGTCGCGCTGCGCAACGTGCGCGGCGAGGGCGCCGTCGAGGTCCACGTCGTCGACCTCAACGAGGACACGGAGTGCGCGGAGTCCGAGGCGGAGCTCCTCGCGACGGGCGCGTCCGCGGCCGCGCGCTTCGTCGAGCCGGGCGAGGAGTCCTCGTTCTTCCTCGCCTTCCTCGGCCCGGACGGCGAGCCCGTGGAGCGGCCGACGCTCCGCGTGAAGCCGCGCGGCGCGCCGTGCGGCGTCGCGGAGCGCGTCGACGTCGCCGTGGACTTTTCGTCGCCGTTCACGATTTTCGCGGTGGACGACCCGGGCGAGTCGAGCCGCATCTTCGTCACGCGCGTCTACCACGAGAATCCCGAGCTCTAAAATCGGGTCGGGTACTGCATGTTGAACTCGGTTGAAGGTGTCCTTGCCCTGAACTGTGCGATTATGACGACGTCGCGCATGTCTCTAATCCGCCTCCTCGCCCTCTGCGCCGTCGCGGCGGCCTTCCGCGCGCCCTTGCGGCAACACACACACACGCGCTGCGCGGGCGCCAAGACCGACGCGGTCGTCGGCGCCCTGCGGCGCGTGCCCCTCGCCGGCCGCCTCTTCAGAAGCAAGGAGACGCCCGCGCACGCACCACCGCCCGCACCGGCGCCGGAGTGCGGCTCGACCAACTTCGCCGCGCTGCTGGACACCGCGCGCGACGAGGCCGCGTCGCTCCTCGAGGACGTCGTCCGCCGCGAGGTCGGCGACCTCGCGGACCGGGGCTTGGCCGTGCCCTTCGAGGCCAAGGCCGGGCCGCCGTCGGCCGCCGCGTGGCGCGCGGCCTGCGACGCCTCGGGCGTCACGTCCTACGCCGACTTTGGCGTCACGCTCAGCGCCGTCGAGCCCGAGGCGCCCGAGGAGGAAGCGGATCCCGTCGCGGCGTTCGACGCGGCGCACGCCGCGGGCGGCTTCGAGGACCTCCTCGTGTCGCTCCGCGACGCGTCGCGCGCGGCGTCGGAGCTCGACGCGGCCGTGGAGTGGCGCTACGCGCGCGCGTGCCTGGACGTCGCCGACGCGCGCGGCGACGCGACGCGCGAGGGCCTCGTCCGCGAGGGGCTCGAGGCCGCGCGCCGGTCCGCGGCGCTCGCGCCGGCCGACGGCCTGGCGCAAAAGTGGCTGGGCATCATGCTCGGCAGCGTCGGCGACTACGAGACGACGAAGGAGAAGCTCGGCAACAGCTACGCGATCAAGGACGCGCTCGACGTCGCCTGGGCGGCGCGGCCCGACGACGCGACGGTCGCGCTCGCGCTCGGCCAGTGGTGCCTCAAGGTCGCCGGCGTGTCCTTCGTCGAGCGGGGCCTCGCGCGGGCCATCTTCGGCGGGTCGCCGCCGACGGCGACCTTCGCCGAGGCCCTCGCCTACTTCCAGCGGGCGGACAAGCTCCGGCCCGCGCCGAAGACCAAGGCCCTCATCAAGCTCGTCCAGAAGAAGATGAAGTAAGGAGCCTTTATCCTGGGCCCCCCTGGGGGGAGAGGCCTTTCGGGGGTCGCCTTTATCTTGATCTTGTGCTTGGGGGGGTTGGGGGGAGGCTGCCGCGCGCTAGAGCGCGTCGAGGAGCCGCTGCTTGAGCGCGGCCTTGAGGCCCGTCGTCGCGAGGCCGCGCGCGTCGAGCTGGGCCTTGAGCTGGGGCACCGTGAACTTGGCGACCTCGGCGGTCGTGAGCGGCGGCGGCGCGGCCGGCGCGGGCTTGGGCGGCGGCGCGAGCGTCGCGCGCGGCTCGTCGTCGTCCGTCTCGGCGGAGTCGTCGCCGTCGTCGTCGCCGTAGAGGACGCTGTGCTTCTTGAGGACGCGGGGGCCCTTCTTCGCCGTCGCCGGCGCCGGCGGCGCGGCGTCGGGCGCGGGCGCGGCGTCGGCGGGCGCGGCGGCCGGGTCGTCGGTCGCGTCCGCGTCGGCCGCGTCCGCGACGGCGCCGAGGAGGTTCTTGCCGTCGAGGCCCGCGTCGGGCGCGGCGTCGCCGGCGGCGGCCGCGCAGGCGTCCGCGTAGCGCGCCGCGGCCTTGGCCGCGGCCTTGGCGGCCGCGGACGGCTGCGCGTCGGCCGCGCGCGCGACGCGGCCCGCCAACACCCCGAGGAGCGCGGCGGCGGGCGGGTCCGCCGGCGGCGCGAGGTCGCCGAGCGCCTTGCAGAGCGCGAGGCCCCGCGCCGCGACCTTGGGCGCGCCGTCGTCGACGGTCGCGAGGAGCTTGTGGCAGAGCTCGTACTGCGCGACGAACGCGGGCGCCGCGGCGCCCGCGGCGGCGGGCAGCGAGCTCACGTAGGCGAGGGCCCGCGCGACGGCGGCGGACGACGCGCGCTTGTCGTCGAGGAGCGCCGCCGCGGCGCCGCCGAGCGCCGCGCCGCCGGACCGGCGCGCGAACGTCGGGAAGAAGACCGCGAGCACCTGCTGGAGCCGCGCGGCGCTGCCCAGCACCTCGCCGTCGTCGTCGTCGTCGTCGTCGTCGTCGTCGAAGGTCTCGTCGTCGTCGTCGCGCGCCGCGCCCGCGGCGCAGTAGCGCGCGACGAGCGCCGCGAGCGCCCTCGCGGGCTTGTCGCCGTCGCCGAGCGCGCCGCGGAGCAGCAGCTTCGCCGCGCCCTCGGCGGCGACGCGCACGAGCATGACGTCGCCGTCGCCGAGGAGCTTGAGCAGCCCGTCGAGGAAGGGCCCGTCCTTGGTGGGCACCGCGCCCGCGCCGAACGCGAGCGCGACGTCGCAGAGCGCCTGGATCGCGCGGCCGCGGACCTCGGGCACCTCGCGGGGCTGCGTCGCGTAGTCCCAGAGGAGCGGCGCGAGGCGCTTCGCCGTGTCCCCGTCGCCGACGAGGCACCGCCGGCCGAGGCCGTGCACGGCGACGTCGCGGTCGCGGTAGTCCGCCGACGCGGACGCGCGCATCATGAGCGAGTCCGCGCCGTCCGCGGCGAAGTCGAGGAACTCCGCCGCGCCCTCGGACGGGACGCCGGCGAAGCACTTCTTCTCGCCGAGGAGCTGCGCGGCGACGACGAGCGCGCGGCGCTCGCCCGCGCGGTCGCGCGCGGCCCGGACGGCCGCGCCGACGCCCGCGCCGTCGTCCGTGAAGCCCGCGCCGTAGCCGCGCCCCACGGCGAGGCACCGCGCGGCGGCGTCCACGAGGAACTCGGCGACGGGCCGCGCCGTGCGCACCAGATCGCCGTCGACGGCGTCCGCGACCGCGACCTTGCCGACCTCGTCGACGAAGCGGTGCTCGAGGAGCGCGCGCGCGAGGTCCACGACCTGCTTGCACACAAAGGCCTTCTCGTTGGCCTCGTCGTCGTCGTCGTCGCTCTCGCCGCCGCCGCCCGCGGCCGCCGCGGCGACGTTGAGCGCCTCCTCCTCGTGCGCGGCCTCGGCCGTCGCGCCGACGAGCGCCGCGAGCTCCGGCGCGTGCGCGAAGCGCGCGACGGCGTCCTCGAGGTGCGCCGGGAGGAGCTTGGGGCCCGACGGCGCCAGCTCCAGGTCCACGCGGCACCGGAGCCAGATCGCGGCCGCGGGGCCGAGGTCGGCCGCCGCGGGCAGCGCGCAGTCGTCGCCGCCCCGCGCGGGCGGCAGGAACGCGGCGAAGAGGGCGTCGCGCGCGGACGCCCGCGGCGGCGCGTCGCCGTCGGGGTAGCGGTGCGCGTCCGACGCCGCGTTCTCCCGGTCGACGGCGTCCATCGCCGCGCGGAGCGCGCCGACGGCCGGCGCCTCGTCGTCGCCGTCGCCGCTTCGCGCGTGGTAGAAGGACGCGTCGAAGATCTCGACGCGCCGCGCCTCGCCCGCCGGCGGCGGCGCCTCGCCCCGGAGCCACGCCGGCGGCGCCTCGCGGCGGCCGTCGGCGCCGCCCTCGAGCGCGACGGCCGACGCGTGGAGCGCGCGGAGCGCGACGCCGCAGGCCGCCTCCTCGAGGTCCGCGTTGAGGTACTCGAGGAGCTTCACGGGGTCGCCCTTGAGGCTCCGCGACGCGAACCACGCGCAGAGCGTCCGCGCGGCCGCCGCGCGGACGGCCGGGTCGCGGTCCTCGAGGCCCCGCTTGACGACCTGCGCGCGCGCGTCGCGGTGCACGGCCTTGATGCCCACGCGGCTCCGCAGGGCGTCGAAGGCCGCCGTCCGCACCTTGGCGTCGACGTCGCGGCACTTCTCGAGCAGCGACGGCAGCACGCGCTTCGACACGTCGAGCGCGCCGACGGCCGCCGCGCGGACGTCCGCGGACGCGTCGGACTCGAGCGCGCGCACGACCGCCGCCGTCGCCGCCTCGTTGTCGTCCTGGAGCCGCCGCAGGGCGAGGCACGCGGCCTTGCGCACCGCCGCGACCTTGTCCGACGCGCGCGGCACGACGGCCGCGACGAGCGCCTCCCAGACGCCCTCGTCGACCGTCGCCTCCTCCGCGTTCACGACGCTCTCGAGCACGAGCGCGCAGAGCTCGAGGGCCCGGCACCGCGCCGTCTTGTCCGCCGCGCCCGTCGCCGCCGCGAGCCACGTCAGCAGCTCCGTCGAGAACCCCGCGCACGCGTCGTCCGACCCGCCCCCGACGACCGCGCTCGACGCGATGTGCGCGACGAACGTCAGGCACCGCTCGACGTTCGCGTCGCGCTTCTTCGCGACGAGCACGCGCGTCAGGTGCTCGAAGAAGCCGCCCTCGGCGGGCTCCCGGAACAGCTCCGGCGCCGCGTGGACGAGCGCCATCGTCCGCTCGATGCCGCGCTCGTGGGAGGTGCGGGACCGCTTGGCGTCGTTGAGGATGGAGAGGAGTTCTTCATCCGGGGCGACGCCCCCGTTGTGTTCAGCTTTCACGGCGCCGCGCGCGCCCTTGCCCATCTTTTACGTCGTTCGGTGTTCTGCGCGGGGGAACGGGCGTTTGAGGTCGTGCTTTTTGGCGCCCGGAGGGAATGGGGTGTTTGGGGGTACGTGCGAGGCGGGCGAGGAGTGCTGAAGCGGGTGAGGGCGGGCGCGCGCGCGTGGGCAACGGGGGTCGCGAACGAAATTCACGTTCTACGCGACGTTGCGGGCGATCGAGGTCCCGTTTTTTTGCACAATGGGTATGGGGTGTCAAGGTGTGCGTTTGGCGCGGGCGAGAGGTACTGAAGTGTACGAGCGGGTGCGCGCGGCGAGGCGGTAATGGACGCGGGCATCGCGCTCCGGCACCAACGTCGAGATCCTGGCGTTGAAGTTGTTAACGTGCGCACCCCCTTCAATAACTAGTCCAACGTCTCGCTTGACGCGGGCGGCCACTGGTTGCGAGTTGCAGTGGATACCCCGTCGCTTGAACTATTGCAAGCCAAGACAAACTTTGAAGAAATCCTAGCTTCTAGAGGGCTAGAGACGGTGTCTCCGCTGGAGTATTCAGCGGCCGATGATGGAATCTCCACCTTAGAGGGGCCCGCGCTCCTCGAATATGCAGCGACGTGCAACGATCCCAGTGGCTTTGAGGTCCGCAAACATGTGGGTGAGGCACATAAAAGACGCGACATCCGTGGAATGAGGCGCGGCAGCTCCCCCCGACCCGATTTTCGGTCCCCTTCGAGTCACAGAGCGTCGGGAATCGTTCGTCATGGGAGCGACCAGATGCCCTCGCGGCAGCTCTTCGACTCGAGCCGATTTGATCGAGATCACCTCACCGGCTCCGAGAGGCGCGCGGCGCCGCGGGCGACACGGTGCTCACCGCGCAATGCACGAGGCCGTATGTGCGACCAAGCCCGGACAGCCCCCTCGGGAGGGACATTCCAGGGGGTGTTTCTTCGAAGTTGGTCGCACATACGGGACCTCAGCACTAATGCGAGCCCCTCGTCGGTCGCCCCCCACCGATAACCGCCGTTCTCGTCGTCCACGGGCTGCCCCGACGCGAACTAAGTTGCTCCCCATCGACCGATGGTCTTTCCCGAGCGACTCGCAGCCGGGCCCAAGGCGCGACATGGTCCACAGACCGAGCGCCGCGCCAAGTCCTGGAACCGCTGCATCGCGTGCCCAACCTGGGCGAGGCAGCTCGGAGTCAACCAAGTGATGTCACGCCGAGCGTCAACATGGCAGAGTATCGACTGCAACTCGCAACCAGTGGGCGGCGCAATGGCAGCCCAGCCAGAAGCTACCCCCATGCGGCGCATCAAGCAGGCCACGAAAAAGAACGAGGACAGAAAAAAAATGGTCCGCCGTCTGAAAAAGAAGTCGAAGCAGACCTTCGAGATGGTCTACGTCGTGCTCTTCGTCCTGCTGTGCATCGCCGGGTCGCTGGGCGTGGCGCGGCGCATGTCGCTGCCGGCGTCCGTCGTGTCCTTCGCGTCCGTGGCGCATCAACCGCAGAACACGCGCGTGTATCTGGACGTGCGCGTCGACGGCCAGCACGCGGGCCGGCTCGAGGTCGAGCTCTTCGACGGCCTCGCGCCGAAAACCGCGGCGAACTTCCGAGCGTTGTGCGTCGGCGCGGGCCAGACGTCCTACGGCCTGTCGAAGACCTACGTCGGGTCCGCGTTCCACCGCATCATCCCGAACTTCGTCGCCCAGGGCGGCGAGTACACGCTCGGCCGCGGCGGCGAGTCGATCTACCCGGGCAACGAGTTCGCGGACGAGTGGGACAACGGCATGCTCCGCCACGACCGGCGGGGGCTGCTGTCCATGGCCAACGCGGGGCCCGACACGCAGACGTCCCAGTTCTTCCTCACGCTGGGCGCGACGGGCGCGCTCGACGGGAAGCACGTCGTCTTCGGCGTCGTCGCGCGCGGCCTCGCCGTGCTCGACGCCATCGAGGCCGGCGGCACGTCGAGCGGCGCGCCCGTGAAGCGCGTCGTCATCTCGGCGGCCGGGGCACTCTAACGAAGACTCGGGGGATCGCGGGGGATCGCGGGCGCGGGCCCCTATTGCCGTTTCCGCGCGCGGTTCATGAGGAGGCCGAAGCCGTCGACGCAGAGCTCGCGGACCTCGTTGTCCGGGAGCTCGAGGTTGACGGCGCGGTGCGTCGTGACGAGGCTGAGGCACCGGTCCGGGTCGACGCCCGGCGGGCGCGGCCGGCCCGTGAACGTGCCGCGCCGCACGTCGACGATCTCGGCGACGGAGATGCCCGCGGCCTTGGAGCCCGGCGACACCGGCGACTCGGCGCCCGGCCGCATGCCGCTCGGCGACCGGTCGAAGGACCGGCGGAACGACGACTTCGTGCTCGTCCAGACGATGTCGTCGCCCTGGAGCCGCACGAGCCTGTCCTTCGGTGCGCCCAGGCGGCCGTGCTTCTTGACGACGAAGCCCTGCTTGAGCATGAGGACGAACTCGCCGAGGAACTGGCTCTCGAAGGTCGCCACCGTCGGGGCGCCGCCGGACGTGGACGCCTCGCCCTTGCCGCCGGGCGCGGGCGGCGACTCGCCCGCGGCGGCCGCGTCGTCGTCCGCGCCGCGCGCGCCGCTCCCGTCGAGGCCCCGGCTCGGCTTCGGGTCCGCGCGGTCGAAGACCGCGCCGATCTCGTCCGTCTCCTCGGGCTCCTCGACGGCGTCGGGGTAGCCCTTGAGGATATCGGTCAGCGCCGCGAGGATCGCCCCCTCCTTGACGGGCTGGGAATTGGCCTGGTCGTCGTCTTCGGCGACGCTCTCGCCGCCGCCGGCGCAGAGGAGCAGGCTCGCGAGCGCGGACGACGCGGACCCCATGGCCGGCCCCGGTCGGGTGGGGCTGCTGGACCCCGCCGCGTCCAATGGGCCGCCCTAAACAGGGATGCTGCCCTGTCCTCGCGGGCAGAAAAAATCCGACGCAACGACGGCTTCAGTGCACGTGACGATGCCGTTAGAAGGCCTCGGCGATGCACCGCTCCAGGTTCGGGTGGATCGTCTGGCGGCGCATGATGTAGGTCTGGTGGCGGAGGAAGATGTCGAGGTTGTGCTCGGCCCAGGCCTGGCAGTAGGGCGCCGCGCCCGGGAACCGCCTCCTCCGCGCGACGTACTCGGAGACGAGGAGGTACTTGTACCCGAGCATCTTCTCCTTGTAGTTGCGGCCGCTGTGCTCCTTGTTGTCGAGGAGGGGGATGCTCCCGGCCATGATGGCCTCGAAGAAGCGCTGGGACCAGGGCTTGTCGCCCGCCGGCGACAGCGTGAACCGCGACCGCGCGAGCCGGAGGAAGTAGTCCGTGGAGCACTTGGCCATGACGCAGGGGTTCTTCGTCTGCTCGGCCATGACGCCCATGGGCTTGAAGCCCGCCGGCTTGCCGTCGGCGCCGATGGAGATGTCGTAGGGCCCGAGCCGCTTGTAGGTCCGCGGGTCCTGGACCGTCGTGTCGATGAAGATGCTCCGGTTCGTGAACGACGACCGCACAAAGTCGAAGATCCACTTGCGCGCGCGGTTCGCCGTCTCTTGCTTCGTGTGGAGCCGCCCCATGAAGTTCACGTCGACGTCGCGGACCGAGCCGTTGGCGTAGAACATGGCCGCCTCGAGGTGGGACCGCGGGAAGACGATGTAGGCCGGGCTGAACGCGCCGTGGCGCTTCTTGTCGTTGCAGCACTGTTTCTGCATGCGAGCGCCCGCCGCCGCGTCGCCGGGCTGGACCGTGAGGTCCGCCTCGTGGAACCGCGCGAAGCAGTCGACCTCCACGGACCGCGGGCCGGGCTGGATCGTCTTCGCGTTCTGCTTGAAAACGCGGCGCGGCGGGTCCGCGCAGAAGCCGCTGAGGTTGCGCGCGGCGACCGTCGCCGCGGCGATGTCGTCGGCGCGGATGCGCGCCTTGTTGATCTCCTGCTGCGCGGGGCCCACGGGCTTCTTATTTTGGGTCCGCGCCTGCTGCCGCGCCCGGGCCGCCTGGTTCTGCGCCTTGGCCTTGTGGAGCCGGTGCGCGTTGCGCTGCGGGCTGCGCGCGTTCGCCGCGGGCCGCGCGCGCGGCGCCTGCTGCCGCGGCGGCGCGGAGACCACGCCGCTCGCGCAGAGCAGCAAGGCGAGCGCTCGAGGCGCGACCACCATCGCGACGGCTGCCCCGATTACGAATGTTCAAATTGCAGCTCATACAAAAAACTTGAAGGGGGCGCGGCTACAGCGTCGGGATGACCTGGGCCGTCGGCGGCGCGGCCTTGTCGAAGTCGCCGCCGGCCGGCGACGTCGGCGTCGCCGGGAGCTCGATGCCCCCGTCGGGGGCGTACTCGCCCTTGGCGTAGTCGCCGACGACCTCCGTCGCCTGCGCCGTGATGACGCCGCGGTGCGCCGCGGCGACGAGCGTGCCGTCCTGCTGCATGATGAGCCCCTCGTCGTTGAGCTGCTCCTGGACGGCGCGCACGAGCTGCTTCGTCCGCGCGCGCTCCTTGGCGGCGTGGCAGCCGCAGCAGAGCGCGACGGCGACGACGGCCGCGACCGCCAGGCCCAGCAGCACGCGCAGCGTGCGGTTCTCGCGCGCGTGGCGCCCGCCGTCGTCGTCGTCGTCGGACTCGGCCCACCAGGCGGCGTCGCGCGTCCCCGCGCCGGGCCTCTTGCCCTCGCCGTCCCACGCCGCGAGCGCGGCCGCGCTCGGCTCGTGGCCGTCGCAGGTGTAGCGCACGGCGATGGTCTCGTAGGCGTTGCCCTCGTGGCCCCCCGGCAGGCACGCGCCGCTCGGCACGACGAACTCGTCCTCGAGCGGGCCGCCGCAGCGGTCGTGGTCGACCCACTTCTCGAGGTTTATCGTCGCGTTGTCCTCGCAGTGGTACTTGAAGGACGTCGTCGCGTCCATGCGGATGTTGTAGCAGCTGTGGGGCACCATGGTCGCCCCGAAGGTCCGCAGCTCGTCGTCGCAGTCGTCGAAGGACGCGAAGTACTCGATGCGGACGCCGTACGCCGTCGTCTCCGAGTTGTGGCAGACCTGCGTGTACGACTGGCCGCCGAAGATGCGGCTCTCGACGCAGACGGGCTCGTCGAGCTCGTAGACCTGCTCCGGCGGGCCGCGGCACTCGGCCTGCTCGCCGTAGCCGCGCCAGTAGCGCCGCGAGATGGCGTTGTCGAGGCCGCACTCGACGGCCATCGCGAGTCGGCCCCCGAGGTGCACGCAGGAGCCCGACGCGACGGAGATCTCGTAGTGGAGGCCGTCGCTCGGGCAGTCCACCGCGTCGTAGGACACGAGCTGCGTGTCGTAGGCGTTGGTGGTCAGCATCGTCGCGACGACGAGGCAGAGTCGCGACATCGTCCGGGGCAGCCCTTCGGGGCAGCGTCGAGCGTCCCGGGCGCGAGCGAGGCGGCGTCTCCCGGGCCGGAGCACCCGACCACAACCTTGTCAGGGCAGCTCTTCGAAGCACGGGAGAGGCCGCGGCAATCTCACGGCGCCTTCGATACTGGTCTTTGCAGAAACGTTGTCCGCAACAAGTGAAGCTGAAGACGGAATCCCCGCAGCAAGTCGATAAATATTGCAGCAAGTCGATGGACGCGTCGATTATCGGGCAGCCCGTTCGGCATGATCTGGCCCACGATGGGCACAACGGAGAGTACTTCGCTATGGGAAGTCGGGGTCAGGGGTGTCGAAAAACCACTCCGCGCTGTCTCGGGGCTCGCATGGGCTAAGATCGGTCTTCCCACACGCTGCGCGACATGCTGCGCGACTCGCTGCTCCCTCTGCTGCGCGCGGTGCACCTGCTGCAAATGGCCAAAATTGTCGCTGCATCACTCGCTGCTTCGCAACCACTCACTGGATGAGACGCTGGATAAGTTAACTTCGTTTTTTGTTGCGGACAACGTTTCTGCAAAGACCAGTAGCGCCAAACCTTGACCTTGATGGCGCCGCTCCGCTAATTTCTTCGCAGAGCTATGAGCCGAGCGCTGCTGCTCCTGCTCGCCTGTTCCCTCGTCCGCATCGATGCCTTCGTCGCGCCGCCCAGGCCCGCTCCGACGATCCAGCTCTACGCCGAGGACGGCCCGAGCCGGCGCGGCAGGCGTCGCGCACGCAAGGAACGGACGCACTTGACGACGCCGACGGAGGCGGCGGCGCCCGCGGCGCCGGCGCCGAAGAAGGCGATCCCGCGCCCGTCGGTGCTCGACGGCATCGGCACGCCATCGCCGAAGAAGCTGAAGCAGCGGACGGCGCAACCGCCCGAAGCCGCCGCCGCGCCGCCGCGCGCCGCGCCGCCGCGCGCCGCGCCGCCGCGCGACGCGTCGCCGCGCGCCGCGCCGCCGGCGTTCGAGATCTACGACTCGGCGCCCGACGAGCGCGCGGCGGACGCGCCCGAGCCCGCGCCCGCGGAGGCGCCGGACGACTCCCCGGCGGCGTTCGCCGCGGCCGCGTGGGACGCCGAGGCGGGCGAGGCCGCGGCCGCGGCGAGCTACGTCGCGTCGTGCCGCGCCAAGCTGGTGTCCCTCTACGAGCTCTACAACCCGGCGAAGCTCGACGACGTCGACGACCTCCTCGCCAAGTACGCGGGCCGCGAGGCGTTGCTCCTGTCGGCCGTCGAGGGCAAGTACAGCGGCGCGGGCGCGATCCCGCTCTTCAAGGACGAGGCCGCGGTCATGCAGGGCGCCAGGCTCATGGAGGAGTACGACGCCCGCGCCCGCGAGGCCCGCGCGGCGTCCGCCGCGCGCCTCGCGGCCGCCGCGGCCGCGGCCGCGGCCGCCGCGGCCGCCGGCGACGCGGCCGCCGCGCGGTCGGCCGTCGGCGCGGCCGTCGCCGAGAGCCTGGACACCGGCGACGACGCCGTGCTCGCAGCCCTGCGCGGCGCCGTGCTCGAGGCCGCCGCGACGAACCTCGACGGCGCGGCGGCGCTCGCGGCGCGCGCGCCCGAGGAGTTCGCGTGGGCCGACGGCGAGAACGTCTTCGCGGCGCGCGACGGCGTCGACGCGGCGCTCGCGGCGGCCTTCCGCGACGCCGCCGCGGAGGCCTACGCGCGCGACGGCCCCGCGGCCGCCGCGGCCCTCGCGCGGGCCGCGCCGGCGCACCGGGGGGGCAACTTGCCGCGGCTCGCCGCGGTCGGCGGCTACCTCGGCGCCGCGGCGGAGTCCGGCGGCGCCTGGGACCGGGCCCTGGTCGGCGAGACCTGCGCCGGCGCCGCGCCCGCGGAGACCTACGACGAGGTGATCCGGCGCCTCGGGTCCCTCGGCGCGCCGCGCGCGGCGCTCGACGTCGCCGCGGCGATGGCGGCGGCGGGCGTCGCCGCCGGCGCGGCGACGGCGGAGCACCTCAACGGCGCCATGGTGCGGTCCGTCGACCGGGGCCCGACGGCGGACGCCATGGCGCGGCTCCCGGAGCCGGGGCCGCCCGAGGTCGTCCTCCTGGGGCGGAGCAACGTCGGCAAGAGCTCGCTCGCGAACGCGCTTTTGGGCCGCCGCGCGCTCGCGCCGACGTCGCCCGTGCCCGGCCGCACGCGGCGCTTCCACTTCTACGACGTCAATTCCGGCGACGGCGCCGAGTCCGAGCGGCCGCGCTTCGCGCTCGTCGACGTGCCCGGCGCGGGCTTCGCCGTGAGCGACGTCGCCGCCGCGCTCGAGGACGGCGGCCTCGCGCGGCCGGGCGTCGCCGAGGCCGCGGGCGGCAAGCAGGACAGCTGGCGGTCGCTCACGGCGCGCTACCTCGACGTCCGGGACAGCCTCGCCGTCGTCCTCCAGCTCGTCGACGCGCGCCGCTGCCTCGACGGCGCGCTCCCGGCCGCGGAGCGGCCGACGCCGCGCGCCACGTCCTCGTGCTCACCAAGGTCGACAAGCTCAAGCCCCGGGAGCTCGACCGCGCCGAGGCGACGCTCCGCGCGGCCGCGGACGCGGCCTACGCCGGCGACGGCGGCCGCGCGGCCGTCGTCCGCACCGCGGCGACCGCGCGGCCGCCCGTGGGGCGCGCACACCTCTGGCGCGAGATCCTCGCGGGGCTCGACGCCGCGTCCTAAAAACCTAGCGCCTCTTAGAGAAGTAGACGTCGACGGTCGCGCCGGCGATCGAGCCAGCTTGGTCGCGGTGCTCAACAACGAGCTCAAAGTCCGCGTCCCGGAGCCGGCGGTCCGTCGTCACGACGACCGTGCCCGGCGCCAGCAACTTCAGCGCGTCGGAGAGCCGCGACGCGACGTCTTCGTCGCCCTCGCAGAATAGAGCCGTCGAGTAGCAGAAGACGACGCCCGCGCCGGCGCACGCGCGCCGCGTCGCCGCCGCGTCGTGCAGGTCGCCGCAGTGGAGTTCCGCGTTCGCGAGCCCCGCGCGCGCGAGCGCCGCCGCGCCGACGTCGTGGAGCCTCGGCTGGTACTCGAGGCCCGCGACTTTGAGGTCCGGCCGCCGCTTCGCGAGCGCGAGCACGAGCCGGCCGCAGCCCGAGCCCAGGTCGACCACCTTCGCCAACGGCTCGTCTATCAGCGCCGCGGCTTCGTCGACGACGCCGAAGAAGTGGGCGAGCTGGAATTCGCCGAAGAGGAGGTCGGCGTCGTCGATGAGATCCGGCAGGTCTTCGAGTTCCGCGCGGCTTTTGTAGGCCACGAGATTGCGCCACTCTCGGCTCATCTCGCCGTGCGGATAGAGCGCCTCGACCCAGAGCTCCAGGCTCTCAGCGTCGGCTGGCTCGCTCGCGTCGACGGCTGCGGCCATGCGCTCGCTCGCGTCGACGGCTGCAGCCATGCGCTCGCTCGCGTCGACGGCTGTAGCTATGCGCTCGCTAGTGTTAGATGGCTGCGGCCATGCGCTCGCGTTTGATGGCTAGTGCAAAATTAATGCGCCCATGCACGCCTACCAGTGCTGCCAAAGGACATCATGCGCTGCCGCTCCAAAGGCATCATCAGCTCCTGAGACTTCAACTGCAGTGAACGTGCTCTAGATCTCGGCACCGCGGTAATTCTAGGAATTAGACCGCGACCTCGTTCTCGGACTTGCGGCCGCGGCCCTCGTCGATGGACTTGCGCTCCTCGATGCCCGCGGGCGGCGGCGGCGGCCGCGGGTCCGGCGGGAGCCGGTAGGCGCCGGGCTGGAAGCGGCTCACGTCGGGCGCGTCGAGGTCGAGGGCCGCGAGGATCGCCGTCGCGGCGCCGAGGACGGGCTGGACGCGCGCGACGGCGTCCGGCGGCGCGGGCGCGCCGAGGAGCCCCGCGGCGAGCTCGACGTGCGCCGCGAAGACGTTGAGGACGCGGCTGCGGCGGTCGGCGAACTTGGGCAGGGACCAGGCCACGAGGCCGCAGCGGAAGTCGCGCGCGTGCTTCTCGCGCGCCTCGTGGACCTGCGCGAGGTCGCGGGCCTCGGGCGAGCCCCGGGCCGCGCCGCGCCGCTTCGCCGCCGCGGCCTCGACGCCGCGGTCCAGGTCCGCGAGGGCCTTGCACATGTCGCGGAGCGCCGACGCCTGGCTCAGCTCGTAGGACACGACGTCGCAGAGCCAGGCGCGCAGCGCGTCCGGCAGCGGCGCGAGCGTGCGCCGCGCGAGCGCGTCCAGCGCGTCGCGCGCGCGCGCGAGCGCGGCCGCGGGCAGCGCGCCGAGCACGGCCGGCGCCGCCGGGTGCGCCTCGCTGGGCCGCGGCAGGAAGACGGCCCGCGTGAGCGGCGCGTCCGAGTCCTCGGCCCGCTCGCCGAGCCGCGCGAGCGTCGCGCCGTCCGCGGCCTCGGCGTCGGCCCAGGCCGACGTCGCCGCGCGCACGGCCTCCGCCGCCGCCGCCGCCGCGCCCAGGGCCTTGGCGAAGCCGTCGTAGGCGCCCCGGGCCGCCCGGAGCGCGTCGTCGAGGTCGTCGAGCTCCGCGCGCGCCTTCCCGAGCGCGTGCGCGTCGCCGCCGCCCGCGCCGCGCGCCTGCGCGTCGGCGAGGCACTCGTTCCAGCGCAGCATGCCGAAGCTCAGCGCCGCCGTCGACCCGCCGCCGAAGGGGCCCGGCGTCACGAACGCGACCCACGCGCTGTCCTCCGCGAGGAAGCAGTTCTCGAGGATCGCCGCGCAGAAGAGCGCGAGCGCGCGCACGCGGCGGCGCACGACCTTGTCGCCCGTGCCGAAGCCCTTCTTGGGCGGCAGCGACGGCACGAGCATGCCGTGCGCGCCGAAGCGCCGCGCGAGCGTCGCCCGGAGCTCCTCGAACTCGGAGAACCGCCGCTTCGCGACCTGGCGGTCCACGGTGTCGTCGTCGTCGTCGTCGGCCTCGGAGTTGCGCTCGACCTTGGCCGCCGACGCCGGCGACAGGGGCGCCTGCGGCCGCACGGTCTCCAGGACCACGGGGTAGACCATGAAGTTCTTGTTGAGGCCCTCGCCCTTGACCTTGGTGGGCTGCCCGATGACGACGCGGCTCCGGCAGAGCGTGAGCTGCGCGGCCTCGATCCACTCCTTGAGCGGCTTCTCCTCGCGCTCCATGCTCGCTGCGTGCCGCGCCGCCGCGTCCAGAGGCGCGCAGAGGCCAAGGCGAGTGGTGTCAAACAACTGGGGCCAATCGCCGCCGAGGCAGCCCGTTTGTTGCCTGTGCAAGATCGATGCATCAACGACGAGCGCTCGCGCAGCATGGCCATGCGCGCTTGCACGACGCTGGTGCTCATCGCCTGCGCAGCCGCGCTCGTCCCCGGCTTTCCGCGCCGCTGCGCGACGGCGCGGCGGGCGGCCGCCGACGGCGGCGCCCCCGCCCGGGAGCTGCTGCCGCTCATGCCCTTCGGCAGCGACGAGGTGCTGATCCCCGGCCAGTCGCGCTACCTCCACCTCTACGAGGCGCGGTTCCTGGCGCTCTTCGATCACGCGACGAAGGAGTGCGGCGACGACGTCGTCCTGGGCTTCTTCGCGGGCGACAACGCGCTCCTGCGGTGCGCGACGCGAGCGCGCGTCGACCGGTGGGAGCGGCTCGACGTCGGCGTCGGCGTGACGCTGCGCGGCGTGTCGCGCTGCTCCATCGCCGGCGTCGACCAGACCGAGGACCACCCCTTCCTGCTCTGCGCCCTCGAGGACCTCGCGGACGCGCCGGGCGGCGGCGGCGGCGACGCCGCCGCCGCGGAGATCCGCGCGCTCGCGGACGAGGTCGACGCGCTGGCCGCGCGCCACGACATCGACGCCGGCCGCTCCAAGGAGATCGCCGTCGACCCGCGCGCCATGGTCGACGAGGCCGACGTCGGCGACGTCGCGCGGTCGGGCAGCCTCGGCGACCGCGTCGCGGCCCTCTCGGCCGACGCGCGCGCGGGCGACGCGACGGACGCGGAGCTCCTCTCCTTCCTCGCCCTCGAGGGCGCGCCGCCGGACCTCAAGCTCCGCATGCTCGCGTCGACGAGCCGCGCCGAGCGCCTCGACGCCGCCAAGGCCGAGCTCGAGCGCCAAAAGGCCGAGCTCGCGGCCAAGGCGAGCCTGAAATCCGCGCTCTCGGGCCTGTCCTGGGGCGACGAGGACCCATGATCGCGCGTAATCGTCGAGACGCGCGTGTTCGCGCGCGCCGCTTACCGCGCCTACGCGGGGAGCCGGAGCTTGCCGTCGACGTCGATGGGCGGGCGAGCCTGAAATCCGCGCACCGGCGCCAAGGAGCTCGAGCGCGCGGTGCCGAGCTGCGGCTGACATAGCTTCGTGGCGACGTCTCGGCACGCTTGATCGGCACGCGCGCACTCGTTGAACCGCTCGCACATACTGCCCAGGCTGTCGGCAGCCAGACCAGGCTGAAACGGCCACTGCCGAAGCCAGAAGGTGAGGATGTACTTGGATCTACCGCCCTGCGGCGAGCGACCCTGGTGCAGGCTTCGCCAATCGCGTGCGACGCAGCGCTCGTCGGCGACGACGCAATTCTCCCAGATGATAGCGCTCCCGGCACGTGCTCGCACTCGTAGCGGTCCGCCGTCAGCCAGCATGAACTCGGTCTCCCCACCGTCGGGCACATCGGAGAGGTATACAAGGAGCGTCGCCCGTCGCGCGTTGAGAGACGTCGGGAAAGGGCGACTGCCGTCGACGTCGAACAGATCGTAATGCGCGCGAAATCTGTCTCCTGCGTCGTAGCGAGAGAGGAACGGTCTCTCTGCGGAGCGTACGCTCAGGCCAGTCAGCGCCTCCGTCCGCAGCGCGAGGCGCGCGACGATCGGCGCGACGTCAGCACCGGTGCACCAGCCACCCTTCGATGTGCGCACGAAACTGTACACCCAGCTCATCAACGCATTCTGGAAGTCGGCTCTGCCCTCTAATCGCGGCGGTGGAGACGTCTCCGCAGCGGAGTGAAGCGATCTGGCGACGTCGGTGCCCAGGAGGGCGCGCGCCGTCTCTGGCGATATGAAGTTGTGGATCAGCGTCACATTCGGGGCCCGTGAGATGCGGCTCACCTGAAAACCGCCAGAGTCGACGGAGCCCACACCCATGGCATCGAATATTCTGGGAGCCGGCCCGAGGACATCGCCCAGCCACTCCGGCGCGAGGAGGTAGAACAACATACTCGCTCCGTGCGTGCGCGCGGCCTGGTAGGACACGCCGAGAAAGGGCACAAGCACGAAAGCCACGGCAAAGCAGCCGAACCCTCGGGCGGAGAGTCGGGAGCCCCGTGCCTCAGCAGGGGCCATGAAGAAGCGTAGCGGCGCTGCCAGTGCTGCCGCCGCTTAAAGTGAGTCGTGCTGCCGCCGCGTCACTACTGGCATAGCATGGCCGGGTGACCGCGGCCGCCGCACGCGCGCGCGGCGGCGCGCGATGCGGCCGCGGCGCAATGCAGGGAGCTCACCTAGCTCGCGTGCCTGAGCACAATGTCATGCGCCTCGGCCGCGTCGGCAGACTCGAGATGCAGACTCGGGCGCCTGTTTTGCCAATGCTGAGTTCACCTTGCAGTGCGATGGGCTGATCGAAATCACGAGGAAATGGGCTGCGGTGGAAGCCTACGATTCTTGCCAGTCCTGCTCTTCGCCGCCGCGGCCGACGGCCTCTGGACCGCGGCGGACGTGGACCGCGTCGTCTGCAACGCGCTGCGCAACAGCAACGCCAGCGGCGGCTGCCCGCCGGCGCCGCCGGCGCCCTTCCCGCACGTCGACCTGCCGCTCGGCGCGCGCGTCGCGCTCGCGCTCGTGGGCCAGGTGCGCACGTTCTTCGAGGAGCCCCTGCGGACGCAGTGGCGGCGCGTCGCGGCGTCGGCCGGCGACGGCGTCGTCGTCTTCGCGGCGCTCGGCCACGGCAAGGGCTTCCGGGAGGCGCGCGTCTGCGAGTTCTTCGGCGAGCTCGGGCTGCCCTGCCACGCGCGCTTCGTCAACGTCGACGCCGACGCGGCGCCGTTGCTGCGGGACGCGTCGCTCGCGGCGACGGCGCGGCGGCCGCACCAGTTCCAGCAGGGCGGCGCGAGCTGGCGCATAAGCGCGCCCCTCAAGCGGCTCGTCGCGCTCGACGCGCTGCTCGCCTGGGAGCGCGCGCGCGGCGAGCGGTTCCGCGCCGTCGTCGTGGCGCGGTGCGACGTCGTCGTGCCGGGCCTCGTCGCGGACGCGGCGGGCGCGCCGCGCGCGGACGTCGCGCGGGCGCTCGCGCCGGACGCGCCCTTCCTGCTCAACGACGTCTTCGCGGCGCTGCCCCGGGCCGCGGCGCCGGCCTACCTGCTCCAGTACGCGACGCACCTCGACCTCGCGGACCTGCACCGCGTCGACCGGCCCAACTACGCGCGCCTCGACGCGGTCCTCCGGCCGCCGGCGGGCGCGCGGGACCCGGGCTACGGCGTCAAGGGCTCGCTCTGGCAGCCGACGACGGCCCTCGCGTTCTACGGTGTCCCCTTCGGCGGCGCGAAGCTCGAGGTCTTCACGGGCGCCGGCGACCGCTTCGACCAGCGCGCGCCCGTAACGGGCGCCGCGCTGAGCGACGGGGGCCCCTGCGCGGCGCCCTACTACCTCGTCCGCTCGCGGGACGCCGCGGGCCGCGTCGCCTGCCTCGAGGACTTTCCCGTCTTCGACCCCGGCGGCTGCGTCGCCCGCGTCTTCAACGCGACCCTCCCGACGTGCTAACGAGCTTTAGGAGGCGAAAAGTGGATGAGGGGCCGCACGGCGGGCCGCGGCGCGTCGCCGCTTTTGGCGCGCGCGTGGCGCGTCGCGCAGTGCGGCGGGTTGAGCACGCGCCGCGGCGCGCCGCCGGCGACGTCGAGGGGGTCGTTGTCGAGTAGGACGAGGTCCCCGGCGTACTCGGGTTTGAAGTCGCCGTCCTCGTCGGGCCAGAGGTCGACGCTCGCGGTGCAGGTGCCGTTCGCGTGGAGCGACGCGTTGGGCCACGCGTAGCAGCACGTCGGCCCGATCGTGTAGATCGGGTTCCAGGCGTTCGACCGCGTGTTCTGGCCGCAGGACGCGTTCATGAGCACGTGCGTGTCCAACCCCGGGGACTTGCCGTGCTTCGCCGGGCCGTAGTTCGTCACGAGGTCGTCCGTGCCGTCGCGGTAGCGCATCGTCATGCGGCCGACGCCTAAATCGTTGTCGAGCGCGACTTTCATGAACGTCGGCGAGAGAATGTAGAGGGCGTCGCTGCCCTGCAGGGGCCGCCGCGCGTCCCGGGGGGGCGGCGCCGTGCACGTCGTCTTCTGGTGCACGGATTCGACGTGCGCGATGTTGACGTCCTTGCCGTCGTCGACGCCCCAGTCGTCGAAGGTCGTGCGGAACCAGAGGTCGGGCCGCAAGAGCACCCAGCGTTCCACGGTGGACGCGTAGGGCTCCGCGCGGCCGAAGTGGGCCATCGCGCGCCGCCGCCGCGCGTCCATGACCGTCTCCTTCGGGTGCGCCTTGGGCCTCGGGTTGTCGAAGACGAGCTCCGTCCACGGCGCCAGCGGGATGATGCGCTCGACGTAGCACTTCACCTGCGCCTCCGTGATCCACCCCCGCTCGTTGGGCGTCGTCGTCAGGTTGTCGAACCAGGCGAAGAGGGACACCTCGCCGCGCTTCCGCAGCGGCCCCAGCAGGGCCTCCTCGTGGCTCGCCCAGACCTTCCACAGCGCCTCCCGCCGGCAGGCCTGGCCGACGTAGATGACGCCTGTGTGCATCGGTCGGGTGAAGTCGGCGCAGAGCAAGAGCAACGCAGCCAAACGCTTGAGAAGGCTGCCCATGCCGCTTACTTCAAAAGTTTATGTCATCAAGTTGACTTACTGGTCTTTGCAGAAACGTTGTCCGCAACAAGTGAAGCTGAAGACGGAATCCCCGCAGCAAGTCGATAAATATTGCAGCAAGTCGATGGACGCGTCGATTATCGGGCAGCCCGTTCGGCATGATCTGGCCCACGATGGGCACAACGGAGAGTACTTCGCTATGGGAAGTCGGGGTCAGGGGTGTCGAAAAACCACTCCGCGCTGTCTCGGGGCTCGCATGGGCTAAGATCGGTCTTCCCACACGCTGCGCGACATGCTGCGCGACTCGCTGCTCCCTCTGCTGCGCGCGGTGCACCTGCTGCAAATGGCCAAAATTGTCGCTGCATCACTCGCTGCTTCGCAACCACTCACTGGATGAGACGCTGGATAAGTTAACTTCGTTTTTTGTTGCGGACAACGTTTCTGCAAAGACCAGTATCAAGTGGGTGATTTTTAGCAACCTTCGGGAGGTGGGCTGCTCTCTCACCACCAAGAGCGGGACCTCGTCTGACGACGCCCGGTCGCCACCGTTTGGACGACATGAGCTCCCTCGACGCCGCCTACGCCAAGTGGGCCGATCTCGATCTCGACACGGCGTCCGAGGACGACGAGCCGCAGCGGCCCCGCGCGGCGCCCTCGAAGAAGCGGTCGAAGGTCGTCGTCGACATCGTTTCCGACCCGAACTGATACTGGGCCTGGCCGTCGAAGCGGCGCGTGGAGGCCGTCGCGGCCGAGTTCCCCGACGTGGCGTTCGAGATCCGGTTCCAGCCGTTCCAGCTCTACCCGGATCTGCCGCGCGACTCGCGCGGCGTCGACAAGCTCGAGTACTTCACGGCGCTGAGCGAGCGGCGGCGGCCGAACGCGTCCATGGCGGAGAAGAAGGCCAGGATCGCGGGCCTCGTGGGCGCCTGGAAGGCCGACGGCCTCGACCTCACGTCGCCCTTCGGCGTCGACGGCGGCCGATGGGGCTCGTCCTTCGACGCGCAGCGCCTCATCTGGCTCGCGCGGCAGCAGGGCCGCGAGGATCCCATGATCGAGGCGATCTACAAATTGAACCACGTCGACAACGAGCCGCTGAGCGACCACGCGAAGCTCCTCGAGGCCGCGCGCGCCGCGGGCGTCCAGCGCGCGCCGGAGCTCCTCGCCCGGGCCGACGGCCTCGGCGCGCGGGAGGTGCTCGAGCGCTACCAGCACTACGTCGCCATGGGCATCAACGCCGTGCCCGTCATCGTCCTCGACGACAAGCACGTCATCTCCAACGGCGCGCCGGAGAAGGACTTCCTGCGGCGCACGTTCAAGCACCTCATCGACACGGGCACCGTGCCCCCGCACCTCGGCGCCTGAGCGCGAGCGCATGACGGCCGCCCAGGGGTTTCTCGATCCCCGGCGCGGCCCGAACCAGCTCCGCTTTTTTTAGGTCTGTTAAGAGAGGTGAGGACGGAGGCCTACGCGCGCGGACAGCTCGGGTATCTGACACATGCGAGAATCTTGAATATCCGCTCGAGATATCCGCGTCCTCCGCGAGGTCTGCGACCCGTCGAAGTCCAGAGCCTCCACGCGCATCGCCGGCCGTCAAGGAAACATCCGCGCTCGCCGCCGGTCATCCAGACCGCACCAATCACCACCCCACCACACTCGGACGCCTTGGGTCGCCAACAACTCGCTCTCACGAAACGAGCGAGTCGTCGCCGCTCCGCCAAAACTACCAATGAGCGACCCGCCCACGCTCGGCGCGCCCCCTACGTCGGAGACGATGCCGGAGCCCGAGGCGTCGACGATGAGCGCCGCGACGTATCCGTCGCTCGCGACGGACGGGAACGGCCGAGTCGTCTCGGCCGTCGGCGGCCTCTCGCCGCCGGTCCTCGCGCCGCCCGTGGGCTTCATGCCGCCCATGGGCTTCCCGGAGGCGCGGCGGCCCGCGCCGAAGCCCGCGGCGAAGCCGGACCAGCGCCACGGCCGCTGGACCGAGGAAGAGCGCGTCGCCCCGCGTCCCGGACTCGCCCGCGCGCGCGCACCAAACCCCTCCCTCCCTTCCCACACACCAAAACCCCAATTCCTAGGCACGCCGAGTTCCTCGAGCTCATGCAGCGCTACGGCCGCTCCTGGACGAAGATCTCGTCGGTCATGAAGACGCGGACCGAGCCGCAGGTCCGGAGCCACGCGCAGAAGCACTTCCTGCGCATCAACAAGGAGGAGGGCGTCGACCCGGCGGCGAAGCGGCCGCGCACGAACGCCGGCGGCCACCTCGCGCCGAACGAGCTCCCGCGGCACCTCGCGGCCGGCTCGCCCGACGCCGCGCACGTCGCCGCGTTCGGCCGGAGCGCGACGCCCTGGACGGGCCCGTCGCCCTACGCGTCCTACGGGGCCCCGGCCTACGGCGGCGTCTACCCGCAGGCGGGCTTCGTGCCCCCGGGCCCCTACGGCGCCCACCCGGGCGCCTACGTCGGCGCGCCCCCGTCGGCGCCGCGGCCGCCGTACTACGGCGCGCCGCCGCCGGACGCGGCCGCCGCCGCCCAGGCCCTCTACAGCCTGCCCCAGGCCGCGCCGCCGCCGGCCGGCTACGCGCCGCCGCCGGCCGGCTACGCGCCGCCGCCGGCCGGCTACGCGCCGCCGCCGCCGCCGCCGCCGCCGCCGCAGGCGCCGCCGGGCCAGGCGGCGCCGGCGGGCGTCGCCCTGGGCCTCCTGCAGCAGCTCGAGCAGCTGCCCCCGGACCAGAAGCACGCCCTCCTCCAGGCCGCCATGACCAATGTGACGACCCCGACCCCGGCGGCGCCGCAGGAACCGAGCGTCGCCCTCGACAAGGCCACGGCCGCGGCCATCGCGCGGGAGCGCGCCGCGACGTCGGCGGCGCCGGCGCCGGCGAAGGACGGGGGCGCCGACGCCGCGCTCCCGCCGCTCGAGCCCCAAGAGAACGTCGCCGTCATCGTCGGCGGCGCCGCGGCCGCCGCGCCGGCCGCGGTCGAGGCCGCCGCGCCGGCCGCGGTCGAGGCCGCCGCGCCGGAGCCCGCCGCGCCCGACGCGGCGTGCCCGCCCCGCGCGGAGCCGGAGCCGCTCTCGACGCTCGCCGCGGCGAACATCGTCTGCCCGCCGCCGAAGGACGACGGCGAAGCCGCGTAAAGCCCCCGCAACCCCCAAAAAACGAGATCCCCGGGGGAGCTGCGTTTAGGCCCGTCCGGGGACGCTCGCGGGCGGGGTCGCCGTCGCCTCCGCGGCGCGGCGCGGCCGCGCCGCGGCGCCTACTTCTCGCCCTTGTTGCCGCCGCCGCCGCCCTTGGGGTCGTCGTCGTCGTCGTCGCCGCCCTTGGACTCGGCCATGACGGGTGCCCTGATGATGGGCTTGTTCGCGCTGAGCTTCATCGCCTCGCGGACCATGACGGAGTAGAAGCTGTCGTAGTCGCACGACGCGAGGAGGCAGTAGACGAACTCCTGGACCTTCGGGTCCGTCGTCGTGTCCTGGACGTGCTGCACGTCGCGGTAAAAATCCTTCTGGTCCACGCCCTGCTCCTTGAGCCAGTCGGCCAGCGTCGTCTCGTAGAGCTTGAGGTACCTGGCGGGGGGGCGCCGTCGACGCGCGCGCGGAAGCGCGGCGGGCGCGGGGGCGGCGCACGTCTGGAAGAGGTCCCAGTGTTCGAGCGTGTGCTCCTGCGGGCGGCGGTCGCGTCTACGGAAGCGCGCGGGCGCGCCACGCGGCGGCGGCGGCGGCGGCCGTCGGACGCGGCGCGCGCGCGGCCGACTCCATGTCGCGTTTCGGGGGGTAGCCGATGAACGGCTTGGCGTTGTCCCGGAAGTACTTGCGGAAGACGTCGAGGAAGCCGTTGCTCCAGCAGTACTGGATCGCCTACGTCGTCGTCGCGTCGCGCCGCGGCGGCGCGCGAGGCGTCGCGGCGCGGGCTGCGCGCCCGCTGCACGATGGGGGGGATCTCGCCGCCTTCCTGCTTCGTCGCCTTGGCGTCGTCGTCGTCGTCCAGGCTCGGCATGGCTTCGACGGGGCGCGGCGCCGACTCGCGTCCCAAGGCACCGGAGACGGAGCGCCGCGACCGGCTCTGTCGATTTCAAAGCGAGTGTGCTCCCTGCGGTTGGCAGCCCGGAGCTGCCCAATAGATACCGCGAGCACGGTGCGGCCATAGATGCCGAGGTGCCGCGCGTGGACCGGCTGCGGATACCGGGAAAGTGAATAAAGCAGTGCAAACCAAGGGGGTACCACATAGGGATGATGCAAACCAAGGCGGTGAACCCAAAGTGAATAAGCCGCTCTCGGGCAGCCCGAGCCACAGAATCGCCTGCAAACGCTGAAGTCTTTGCTGATTTCGACAGCAAACGCTCCAACGCTCTCGCCTAAGCAGAGCTCCATCCTGCGGCGTCGGCTGCGTTCGACGCTAGTGCACGTTTTTGCGAGCGCATTCACGTTCCGTGGCTCCAAATCCGTCCGATGATGTCGCGTCATCGTCGCGCCGTGCCGTCAGGTGCTGAAGCTGCTGCGGAACGCTGCGGGGCTGCTACGGGCTGCTCTCGAGCCGCGCCGTTGCTGGGGCGGCGCCAGCTCCGCGCGCAACGAGATGCATTCGTTGCGCGACGCAGCCCTCGAGCCGCGCCGTTGCTACGTCCGTGACGTGACGGCGAGACCTGAGCGCTGCGTCGACGGGCGGTCGGCGCGACAAGCTTTGGCGCGCTGCCGGCTCGACAAGCTTTGGGCGCCGACGTCTGCACAACGCGGCAGCTTGGGCCGCGGCCGCGCGCCGCGCGCTCCGGCGGACGGCGGCGCGCCACGTCCGCGTCCAGCGGTCTCGCGCGCTCCGCGGCTCGCTCGCGGCACTCGCCGCGGCGGTCGCGGCGCGCGGCCGCGGCGCTTGACGCGCGGCGCGGCGCGCAGCGCGCGGTCGCCGCCTGGCGCGCGCGCGCCGTCGGCGGCGAGCGGCGGCGCGCGGCCGCGGGCCGGCGCCGCGCGGCCGCGGGCCGGCGCCGCGCGGTCCTCGCGCGCGCGGTCGCGCGCGCGGTCGCGCGCGTCGGCGCCGCCGCGGCCGAGCGGGCCGCGGCGCGGCGTCGCCGCGCGGACGGCGCGCGCGCAGTCGCCGCCGCCTGGATCTCGGACGAGAGCCTTCGGGCCCGTGGCGGCCGCGGAGCGCGCCGCGCGCTGCGCGCTAGGTCGAACCACGGTGCCTTGGGCACCGCATCCGCTTCTGCCCCCGGTCGTACCCTTCGGGCGCGCGCCAGAGGCTCTAAATTACCCTCCTCCCCTTCGCCGCCCCTGCGGGGCAGCGATTTTTTTTTGGTGCGCCCCCCGGTATCCAACGCAAGCCCGCGCGTGAGAGCGGGGCAGCCTTCCGCTGTCCACCCAGTCTGGCACCGCGGCGCGCGGCCGCGCCGCCCGGATGGAGGAGCCGGCCAAGTCCATCGCGTCCTACAGCGTCGAGGACGTGCAGGACTGGCTGCGGGCCTTGGGCCTCGGGCGCTACCACGACGAGGTCGCGGCGAAGCGCATCAACGGGCGCGTGCTGCTCTGCCTCGTGACGAACGAGTGCCTCGCGCAGCTGGGCATCACGTCGGGCGCGGACGTGGCGACGATCCTCTGGACCGTCGAGGCGCAGATCAAGGCCGGCGACGAGGGCGCGCACGCGATCGTCGATCCGAGCATCTTCCTGAGCGTCGCCGACGCGAGCCGGTCGACGGCCGAGGCCGCCAAGGCCCGGAAGCGCGCGTCCGTGCCCGGCGCCGCGCGCGCCGAGGACAGCGACGAGGAGCGCGCGCCCAAGCCCAAGCGCGACGACGACGTCGACGACGACGACGACGACGACGACGAGGGCTTCGCGGCGGCCGAGCCCGACCTCCTGGGTTTGGGCGACGCCGCGCCGGCCGCGCCCGCCCCGGCCCTCCCCGACGAGGCCACGCTCACGCCCACGAAGGCGCCGGACGTCCCGCCGGAGACGCCCGTCGACGGCGCGCGCAAGGCCCCGGGCGGAAGGCACGTCATGTGCGAGACGTGCCAGAGCGTGTACCCGCGTGGAATTCAAATCTTCAACTCGACTTCAATGTGCGCATATGCGACCGTTTCGACGCAAGCTCTTCGGCTGTGCTTCGAGAACTCGACGAGAGCAATCGATTCGTCCAAAAATCAGCCGAAGCGACGTCGAATTGACGGAGCTAGAGAGATTCTGAAGTTTGGTCAGGACCGCCCAGACCAGTGGTTGAATTCCACACAGGCATGTACTGGTCCGCGAGCGGCGCGACGAAGACGTGCCGCGTCTGCCGCCAGCGCGAGGAGGAGCTCGCGGAGCTCAAGCGGCGCGAGGCCGAGGCGCTCAGGGGCGACCACATGGCGCCGAACGTCCGCGCGGAGTACGAGGTGTCGTTCCTCGACCGGGGGCCGCTGAACATGGTGCTCGAGGAGCTCGACCTCTACAAGATCGTGGTGCGGGGCTTCACGCCGACGGACGACGGCGCCGTGGGCTTCGCCGAGTCCTGCGGCAAGATCGCCGTCGACGACGAGCTCGTCGGCGTCAACGGCCTCGCCGTGGACCGGCTCAAGTTCAACGAGTCCATCGAGCTCATCCGGAGCGCGGAGTGGCCCCTGGCGATCCGCTTCCGGCGGCCGGCGCTCGGCGACTCCATGAAGCTCTTCAGCAACTGGTCCGCGAACGCGCTCAAGCACGCGTTGCTCGAGGCCGACGCGGACGTGCCCGTGGGCGCGGGCCGGTCCCGGCTCGTCGCGCTCTGCCGCGACGTCTTCCGGGACCGCGCGCCGTCGGCGCTCCCGGCCAAGGCGGCGCCGCCCGTCGTCGCCGGGGGCGTGCGGGCCATCTTCGCGGGCGCGACGTCCATCTCGGGGTTCCTGCTCGTGAAGGTGCCCGGCGACCCCGCGGTGCGGCGCTTCTTCGGCAAGCTCGTGGGCAACCGGCTCCAGTTCCACCGGCCGTCGAAGCACGCGGAAGCGGGCTACCTGCCCGAGCCCGCCGTGGCCATCGCCATGGAGCGCGTCGCGCTCGTGACGGCGACGCGGAGCTCCGAGGAGGGCATCCGCGACCTCCGCGTCGTCGTCGAGGACGAGGCGACGGAGGCGCGCATGCCCATCGGCGGCGCGGGCAACGCGCGGGAGACCTGGATCCTGGCCGCCGACGCCGAGGCGCACCTCCGGGACTGGGCGAGCCACCTGTCCATGGCGCAGCTCGTCGGGCCCGGGTCGCGGACGTCGGGCCTCCCGGAGCCGTCGGCGCCGGTTTTGGAGGCGAAGACGTCGACGTCCCTGACCGTGCGCTGGCAGCCGCCGCGGGCGCCCTACCTCGACTCCGTCGCCGCGTTCCAGGTCACCTACGGCGCGCCGGGCCTGCTCGGCGGCGCGTGGCGCATCGCGTCGGACGAGTGCCACGCGACGCGGTGCTGCGTCAAGGGCCTCAAGCCGGACACGACCTACGTCGTCCGCGTGCGCGCGCTCCACGAGCTGAGCCGGGGCACGACGCTCTGGGGCGACTGGAGCGGCACGTCCAAGAGGCTCGCGACGGACCGGGTCCGCTACGGCGCGCGGGGCCGCGACCCGAGCCACTGCTGGATCCTCGTGCACGGCCTCCACGGCACGCCCTTCGACATGAGCCACCTCGCCGCGGCCGTCGAGGCGCGCTGCCCGTCGGACGCGCTCGTCCACGTCGCGGAAGCGAACGCGGGCCGGACGCTCGACGGCGTCGCCGCGGGCGGCGACCGCCTCGTGCGCGAGATCTCCTCGGTGCTGCGCGGCAAGCCGAAGGTGGACAAGCTGAGCTTCGTCTGCCACGACCTCGGCGGCCTCTACGCGCGCTACGCGCTCAAGGCGCTCTGGGCGGGCGGCGCGGTCCGCGAGTGGGACGAGGGCGGCGGCGAGCCCGCGGCCTTCGAGGGGTCCCTCGCCGCGGCCGAGGCCTGCCGCCCGCGCGGGGTCCGCGCGGGGTCCGGCGCCGGCGCCAAGGCCCTCGGCGGCACCGCGCGGCTCGCGAACTTCGTGACCTTCGCGTCGCCGCACCTCGGGTCGCCGCGGCTCGCGCGGCGCTGCGACGGGGGCCCGAAGACGCGCCGGGAGCTGCTCCTGGAGGACCGCGCGCCCGTGCCGGGCCGGCCGGCGCTGCCGCTGGTCCTGCGGCTCGCCCTCGACGACGACTTTCTGGCGCCCCTCAAGTGCTTCCGCCGGCGCGCGTGCTACGCGAACGTCAAGTACGACCGCTCCGTCGAGTACGCGTCCGCGTCCGTCCGCGAGAAGACGCCCTACGCGTCGTCCTCCGACGACTCGCTGCGCCAGCTCGTCGACGACGACGCGTACCGCCTCGTCATGGTCCTCGCCGCGGGCGAGGACGTCCGCCCGGCCGACGAGCGGCCGCCGCCGCCGCCGGGCAGCCCGCGCTTCTTCGGCCTCGGGGCCAGGCCCCGGCCGCTCCACGCCGAGGACGCGGGCCGGGGCTGGGTCGACGCGTCCGACAAGCGCGATCGCGCGTCCTACTTCGCCGCGCTCCGCAACCTCCAGGCCTGCGGCTGGGACCGCGTCGACGTCTTCAACGCGGGCCTCATGAACAACGCGGACCTCATCGTGCGCCGCGAGTGGATGAACGCCCCGGGCTTCGACGTCGTCAAGCACTTCCTCGACCACGCCGCGCTGTCGTAGGGGTCATTACGTAGTGCGGCGTATCGGTCCCGCGACGGCGACGGCGGTGCCGTCGCGGAACTTGGATTTCGCCGTCAGCGCGGGATATTTGAGGCGGTTGAACGCGACGATGTCGCGCGGAGAACATCCACATCTTTGCGCGATCGTCGTGGGCGTGTCGTTCTCGTGCGATATGTGGAAATTCGACCCGTCGCCGCGTTGGTAGGCGCTACCGCGCGCGAGGTCGCACGTCTCGTCGGCCTTTGGATACGCCTCGGGCGAGACCGCTCGAACCGCTTGCGGCGCGCGCTCTTGCACCGATGGACACTTGTCGCAGTGCCAGTGTCCCGACGGCGTTTTTTCCAGGTCGACGCACGAGAGGTGGTAGAATTGCCCGCAGGCCTCGCACAAGATCATCGACTCGCCCGTGGCGTGCCGCCCGCATCGACCGCACCGATTTATGCGTTCGAAAGCCACCTGCGCGGCGTCACGTTCGAAGTTCTCGCTCGTGCCCGAGAGCATGTCGTAGCCCCGAGCGGCGTCCTCCTCGGTGTCGAACGCCATCTCCAAATCTTCGAACACCGCGTACCAGCGGCCGCCCTTCTGTTCCACCCCTACGGCGGCCCGCTTCCGCTTGCTCGCGCGCGGTCGACGGGGACCCGATTGGATATTCGAGACTGTGTTCGGACTCACGATGTTCTCGTTTTCGTCAGTCTCAGCTTGGGTGACCTGCCGGTTGAGCTCGGGTGTGTCAGCCGCGCGTGGCGGATCGTCCGCGTCGCGAGCCCGCCGCGGCGTCACGAGCGCGACCGTCGCGTCGCCGTCATCCTCCTCCGGCACGACGTCTCGCTCGGTGTGTGCGGCGACGAGCGCGGCCATGCGCGCCTCCTTCAGCTTCGCTTCCAGGTCCGAAATCTTCGCCTCGTGCGCAGCGTCCTTGATCGCCAGCTGCGCTTCCAGGTCCGAAATCTTCGCCTCGTGCGCAGCCGTGCGCGCCGCCTCGATCGCCAGCTGCGCTTCCAGGTCTGAAATCTTCGCCTCCTGATCTTCCTGCGCGAGAGGCGCCGCTGCGCCGTTCCGTCGAAGAATATCTTCAACGCGCAGCCATGCGGCGATGTCAGCGTGAGGCACGTGCGCGTCGCACAGAATCTGGAGCTTCGAGTGCGTCTCCTGGTCCATCGTCCGCGACACAAAGCCGTAAGTGCTGGCAATTGAAACCGTGAATTCACCTTAGCGCGCCTTGCACCTGAAATTTGTCGAGCTCTGGCCTCCGGCGACCACCGTTTGTGTGCGCCAGCATGTCGGGCATGGAAATGGAAAGTCTCAAGGATGGGGAGGACCCCGGCGCCGGGCACGTCGCCACGGAGGGGGACGCCGAGGAGGTCCACGAGCACGTCAAGGAGCTCCACAACAACGTCGCGTCGCGCGCGTAAACGGCGTCCGCGCGTCGCCGCCGCCGTCGCCGCCGCCGCCGCGCGTCGTGCCGCGGGAGCCGACGCGCGACGCCCACGCCCGGCCCCCGCGTCATCGCGCCGGCGCGCTCCGCAGGCCCGGACGCGCCGCACGCGCACGAGTACACGCACGCGCGCCAGCTCGAGCTCGCGGGCTTCATGAAGCACCTCGCCGAGGGCGTCGCCGTCACGCGCCACCTCGAGAGCGGCAAGTGCGGCAAGATCTGCATCCGCGGCGACGAGCGCGTTCCCGCCGCGCCCCCCCCGCTTTTCCTCCGCCGCCGCGCGCGCGACGCCCCGCGCGCCCGCCGCAGGAACGGCGTCGAGTGGGACAACGGCCCCTGCACGTGCTGCAGCGACGCGCGCAAGGGCTTCGAGTGGACGGAGCTGCGCGAGGTGCGGACCTACAGCAAGGAGAGCTGCCACCCGACGCCGACGCTCGCGAAGTCGCCGATGCCGAACAAGAACGAGATCGCGCTCACGTTCAGCCTCATCCTCGCCGACGACTGGTCGCTGGACGTGACCTGCCACAGCGCGCCCGGCCACCACCTCGCCGTGCGCGGCTTCGAGCTCGCGCGGAAGCACCACATGCAGGAGGGCCACAAGATCAACGTCCGCGTCGACGACAGCAGCCTCACGTGCCTCCAGCGCTGGACCAAGGCGCTGCACCACATGCACCTGCTCTACGCCGAGAACAAGCACAGCTCTCACGGCGGCGGGAGCCGCATCGTCGTCGGCGCGGCCGTCGAGGTCGCGTACGCGCACTCCATCGAGGCCGCGCACGCGGTCTTCGACCCGAACGCGACGGACCCGACGGGCCAGCCCGTGCGGTCCTACCCCTACCGCGTCAAGATCCCCCGGGGCTACATGCGCTTCCCGACGCGCGCCTGGCACGAGGGCCAGTACGTCATGGGCCACGTCAAGAAGTTCGACCGGAAGACGGAGCTCTACACCATCGAGTACAAGTCGGGGCCCTACAAGCAGACGGAAGGCCCGCGCCTCAACCTGGGCCCGCCGGTCAAGGGCCTGCCGGACGCGACGATCATCGAGGAGTGCCACCGCGCGTTCCTGAGCGTCGACGAGGCGACGAAGAGCGACAACTTCCCGTTCCTCATGCTGCTCATTTCCATCGCCCAGGTCGTGTGCTTCGGGTACTGGGCGCCGAAGATGGACAAGGAGATCTCGGCGACGACGCCCGTCGCCGGGCCCCAGTACCTCTGGTTCAAGACCGTGCGCAACTTCCCCTACTGCAACGACCGCCGGTCCTTCTGGACGATGATGCTCTCCTACCAGCTCGTCCACAGCGGCCTCGAGCACATCGGCTTCAACATCATCCTCCAGTTGATCTTCGGCATCCCCATCGAGCTCATCCACGGCGCCATCATCTTCTTCATCTACGAGATGGGCGTCGTCTGCGGGGCGCTCGCGTGCGTCATGAGCGACCCCTACATCGCCGTCGTCGGCTGCTCGGGGGGCGTCTACTGCCTCTTCGGCATCCACGTGGCCCACATGATCCTCAACTGGTCCGACATGAAGCACAGCGCCATCCCCCGCGAGGTCCGGCTCCTCATCTTCTTCCTCCTCTTCGCGTCCGAGACGGGCACGTGGTGGTTCGTCAACACGGCGGGCAAGTCCTACGCGGCCCACGCCGGCGGCGCCTTCTGCGGCCTCTTCATGGGCCTGGGCTTCATGACGAACTTCGAGATCGAGTGCTGGGAGACGGTGCTCCGCTGGCTCGCGCGCGTCGGCCTCCTCACGTTCCTCGTCGTGGGCATCACGTGGTACGTCGTCGCCGACCCGCCGGCGCCCCTCTTTCTCTGGGAGTTCGGGGACAAGAACAAGATGCCCTGCTGCTTCCAGCTCTTCGAGTGCGACATCGAGCGCAAGTTCAAGTACTACGACCACTTCGAGTGCGACAAGAGCCTCGAGGACGACAAGAACTCGTACCAGTACAACCTCGAGGTCGGCTCGACGACGTTCCAGGAGTGCAACGACATCCGCCGCGAGCTGAACAACACCTTCGGCTGCGGCGACTGCGGCAACTACGGCGACTAAGGCGCCGGCGCCGACGCGCCGACGCGCCCCCCCCCGGCGCGCGAACCCCCAACCCCCCTTGTGGCGCGGACCCCACCCCCCCACCGAACGCCCCCGACGCGTAGCCGCCTATTTTTAAGAAGGAGTGGCCCGGTACGCGACGACCGCGTCGTAGAGCGCCGCGTCCAGGGGCATGAGGCGCCGGAGCTCCGCGGCGAGCGCCGGGTCCAGCGCGGCCGCGGCCCCGTCGTTGGCGTTCTCGACCGTGGCCCCGAAGGCCGGGTCCAGCGGCAGGCCGAGCTCGCCCGCGAGCGCCGCGAGGCCCCGGCCGAGGTCCGCGACGGTGATCGCGCGGACGGCCGCGCGCGGGCCGACGACGTTCGCGAGCGCCGCGGCGAGGTGGGCCCGCGCGCGGGGGCTCTGCGGCGGCGACCGCTCGCTTTCCGGACCGTCGGCGAGGCGCGGGCAGCCCGCGGTCTGGTTCGCGGGCGCGAGTTTCGCGCGCGGCGCCTGGCGCGTCGAGAGCTCGAGCGTCGCGGCCGCGGGCATGAGCCGCGCCCATTCTCTCAACGTCCAGGGGCAGCCGCCGGCCCTCGCCCAGCCCGGCTGCCAGCCCTTGCGCTTCTCGGCGCCGGCGACGCAGAAGTAGCGCCACGAGCTCGCGAGGCGCGCGACGGGGTCGCGGAGGACCGTCGCGTACGCGCAGCGCCGCGGCCGCCCGGCCTTGGCGCCGCGGGCGACGATGAGCTCGCAGGCGCCGAAGGCGTTCGTCCCCGCGTAGAGATCCCGCTCGCAGGCCTCGCCGCCGCGCTCGCACGCGGCCGCGAACTCGGGCCAGCTCCGCCGGAAGAGCGTGTAGGGCGGCCGCAGGCGCAGCGCCGCCGCCGCGCGCGCGAGGGCCGCCTTGACCGTCGTCCCGGCGCTCTTGCTCAGGTGCACGAAGACGACGGACGCCTTGCCGCGCTCGAAGAAGGGCGACCCGGCCGGCGGCGCCGCGGGCGTCGGCGCGACGTAGGGCGCGAAGTCGCGGGACACCTGCGTCGGCTCGCGGCTCCGGCCGGGCCGCACCCAGGGGTCGACGGCGCAGGGCGGCACGTCGTCGCCGCTGGTGGAGCCCAGCAGCGCGACCAGCAGCCCGAGCGCGCGCACCATCGCATCATCAACCGGCGCGGTTGGGGCAGCAGCATGGTGGTTTGGCGGCTGGGGGCAGCCCTGGTCGTGGTCGCCGCGTACCGACACGCCGCCGAGGACGAGGACCGCGCGCTGCGGCCCGTGGCGCGCAAGCCGCCGCGCAAGGCGGCGCCGCGCCACGCGCCGCACGCCGCCGCCGCGCCGCGGCCGCCGCCGTCGCCGTCGGAGCTCGAGGTCCTGCGGCGCGGCGGGAACGTGAGCGACGTCGTGGACCCCCTGCGCTGGCAGCTGGACTACGTCGTCGACGACGGCGAGCGCGCGCCCGGCGACGCGTGGCCCGGCGTCGCCGCGCGGCTGCGGGAGCTCGACGCCGCGCGGCGCGAGGCGATGGCGAGCGTGCGGACGCGGAGCCTCGTGCCCTGCGTCATGGGCTCGGTGACGCAGCCCCTCTGCGACAGCTTAGGCGGCGCCGGCGCGAAGCATATAGCCCTGGCCAGGGCCGTGGGCCTCGAACAGAGCCGCTACGTCGTCTTCTACCGCCACGAGATCGACTGCCAGCCGCGGTACTACGGCGGCGAGGGCTGCGCGGGCATCTTCGGCGGGTCGCTGGGGAACAACATCGGCCACTACTTCATCGCGCGCGCGGCGGCGCGCCTCGGGGGCATGGACTTTGTCTTTTTGCGCCACCTGGTGGCGTGTCCGAACGAGCCGTACGCGTGGCTGCCCGCGGTCGTCGCGACTACCGCGGGGCCGGCGAAGGGCGCGGGCGACGCCTACGCCCACGGCTTCAGCGGCGCCTGCCACGGCCGGGGCAACTTCGTGCACCTGAGCGGCGCGTGGATCCCCCAGGCGCGGCAGGCGGGGCTCGACATCCGGCGCGCGACGCGGGCCTGGGCGGAGTCCGCGGCCTTCCCGCCGGCCGGCGCGCCGCTGGACGACGTCGCCATCCACCTGCGCTGCGGCGACACGCTGGCCCAGGCCCACGGCTCCTACGGCGTCCTCCCGGTCGCGGCGATCGCGGCGTTCGTCCCGGCGGACGCGCCCGTCCGCGTGGGCATCCTCTCCGAGGCGTACCGGCCCGTCTGCGACGGGGAGCTGGCGGGCGTCGTCGAGACGCGGTCGGCCCACAGCGCGTCCAAGTGCCCCTGCCCCTGCGCGGCCCTCGTCGAGGACCTGGTGAGTGCTTTGCAGCGCGCGCGGCCGCTCGCGGTCGTGAGCGTCCACGACAACGAGCTCGTCATGGCGTCGTGGTACCGCCTCGCCCACGCGCCCCACGCGTCCCTCTGCATGTCGTCGACCTTCTGCCTCTGGCCCATCCTGGGCGCGGACCACGGCTACCTCGTCGCGGGCCAGCTCTTCCCGCACGGCGACGAGCTCGCGGACAAGCTCCCGGGCCTCGGCGTCGTCAAGGGCCCGAGGCTCGTGCCCTACAAGGCCCTCGGCAGCGACCGGCGGCCCAAGTGCGGCACGACCGTGGCGGCCATGCGGAAGAGCTTCAACGCCAAGCTCGGGGGCGGCCGCGTCGCGGCGAACGCGAGCGCGCCGCTCGTCATCCGCGGCGCGCCCGCGCCCCCGCTCGCCGGCGGCTGGCGACGACTCTAATTGTTTTACCGCGTCGGGAGCTCGACCATGCGCGCGGCCTCGTCGTCGGGCGTCCAGTACTCGCCCGGCGGCGGCGGGTAGCTCGCCGTGCGCGCGAGCGGCGGGAAGAGCGCCTCCGTCCCCGCCTTCCACGGCACGTACGCCATGCCGCCCGGTTTGAGGAAGTCCGCGTTGAGGTCCATGGTCGAGCAGTACGCCTTGCCCCGCTTGCCCGTGACCCGTCCGCCGACGCGCTGGGCGCAGTTCTCGCCCCACTCGTTGACGACGGGCACCTTGGCCCACCGAAAAAAGTCCAACGGGTCGCGGCGCGGGCCGACGGCGTACTTCCCCCAGTCGCCGAGGTCGACCATGCCCAGCGACTCGCGCGGCGTGAGGATCTCGTGGAGGCCCAGCTGCTCCTGGAGCCGCAGCAGGCTCCGGTACTGGCAGGGCCAGCGCGCGCCCCAGTCCGTCGTCCAGAACACGGGCCTCAGCGGCGAGCCCGCGGGGATGTAGAGGTGCGCGATGACGTTGCGGTCCGGCTGGTAGAGGTCGTAGCCCCAGGTCCAGGCGCGCACGCCCATGGAGATCTCCTCGCCGTCGAAGATGTAGGGCGTGCGGAAGTCGTAGGGCACGCGCGCGACGCGGTGGCCCCGCGCGAAGCTAAACCCCGCCGCGAAGAACGCGACGCGCGACGGCCCGTCCGCCGGCGCGGCGCAGCTGCCCATGTCGTGCTTGAAGGAGATCGTGTTGTGCAGGTTCACGCGCCGCGTCTTCCGGATGCAGCCGATGCTCTTCACCGTCGTCGGCGGCTCGAAGGCCTCGAGGCCGTCGCCGCCCTGCTTGTCCGCGGTATACGACGCCGGGTACGCGGTAATTAGGGCGTGGTCGTTGCCGATGCGCCGGAACATGTCGATCATGACGTTGTCCCAGCCGCGCACGAAGTGGCAGTGGCTGTCGACGCCCATCACATAAGTCTCGTTGCGGAAGTGGCGCTCCGCGAGCGCGCGCGCGACCGTCGGGCCCTCGGCGCGCTCCCAGAGCTGGCGCGACACGCGGACGCGGCCCTCGAGCACCGCCGCGCAGACGGGGTGGTCCGGGCATTGCACGCCCGCGTTCGCCAGGCCCGCGACGGGGTCCCGCTCGGGCTCCTCGTGGCCGCCCGCGTTCTGCGCGTGGACGCCGACGACGACCCGCTCCGGGTGCGCGGCGCGCGCGAACGCGCGCGCGATCGTCGACGCGACCTCCGGGTCCCGGTACGACGCCGTGACGATGAAGATCGTCGACTCGGGCTCGCCGTAGGGCGTCGTGACGCGCCGGCCCGCGACGTCGTAGGCGTAGGACCCGTCCGCCTGCCGCGCGGGATTCGCGCGCGGCCGCGGCGGCCGGCCCCGCGCGGCGTCCGCGGCGTAGTTGACCCACGACGCGCCGAAGTTGTCGTCGGGGTCCGCCGCGCGGTGCATGAGCCGCAGCCGCTCGCGCATCTCGACGCCGGACAGGTCCCAGACCTTGCGCTTCTCGAGCTCCGCGGCGCGCGCCTCCTCGGCGGCGCTCACGACGAAGGGCCGCGGCGCCGCCGGCGCGAGCGACACGGTGATCGGCTGCTGCGCCGGCGGCGGCGGTGTTGATGGCGGCGG